CAGACGTCAGCTAAAACAGTCAAAGGTCAGGGAGGAGGGGTCCAGCAGGCTGGCTGGGTTCTTCAGGACTGGACCAGTTGAGGTTGTTGTGGAGTTCACCTGAACCTCCGTGGACCAGGAGGTGAGTGACCTCACACAGGCTGACCTTTGACCTCTGGTCTAAACCAGAAGAGTTGGTGGATGGTCCGGAAAACTTCAACGTCAGATGAGATTATTTTTCACTTCCTGTCACTTCATCAACGTCAGAGTGGAGACGTTCATCTTTGACATGATGACGGACACACACACACACACACGCTGACACACACACAGGTAATCCTCTCCTTCTGTCTGTTTTATTTTATTCCGTTTGGTGTCACTGCTGATGTCTCCCCCCCCCCCCCACCCCCTCACCCATTCCCTCTACCTTTTTCTCCCACTCCTGCCCCCCCACCTCCCTCCCTCCCTCTCCGTCTCTCTCCTTCTCTCCCGTCCTCCAGCTGACGTTGTCACATCTGTCCAGACATGGAGAAATATTTGTCAGAGGAAATGAAAGACAGGAAGTTGTTATTAGAGGAGGTGATGAGGTCAGATCCTGACTCCTGCTCCTCTCCTTCCCCAGTGCATTCAAATCATGGAGAAAGATTTTAGCTCAGACCAAACCTCATAGAGAAAGCAGTGATTTTGAAATCCGTCCGTTGGTCGGCAGCGTTATTAGAACATAGAGCTGTGACATTTATTTAAGACCAAACAGACTCCTGTCTGGAGCATCATCCGTTTCCATGGAGATCCTGCCTACCCCAGCTTTAATTTCACCCCTCATAGATGACACTCGAGTAGAAAACCTGTGTTGGACGTGTGATTATGTTAATGACGGACTCAGTGGAGAGTGTCGGCAGCGTTTGTATTTATTCACTGACAAACTTTTTGTTTTTCCAAACAGACTCAGATTTACAATTTAAATGTGTCCGTGATTATCATGAGAAAACAGAGAGGAGGTAAAGAGGAGGTGAAGAGGAGGTGAAGAGGAGGTGAAGAGGCCTCTTCACTGTCACGGCCAGGGACGGAGCTCAGGGAGGAGTCAGGCGAGAGGAGAGGATGGAGGTGAGGGAGTGGGTGAGTGAGGGGGAGGATTGAACTTCAACTCCAAAAACATTACAGATCGGTGCAACGTCACCACTTTGGCACAAATACAGAAATACCAACATTTGCCAGGCTGTGGCGCCCTTTCATAGGTCCCCACTCTCCACTTTGTGAACCATGAGCTCAGGCCACTGAGGAGTTCACAAATGAACTCAAATGAAATGAAATTAAAGAAATGAATGTATTTACACTGTCCCTTCTCATTATTCAGACTGAAAATATTTGAACAACAATTTCAGAACTGAAACGACTAACAAATAAATCCAATCAATCAATGCTGGGGTTTTTTCGTGAAGGGAATCAAACAAATTATTAATCAAAGTTTAATCTAATGATGTCCGATAATATCGGCCGACCAATGTTATCGCAAAATATCTGTAAGGATTGTTATTGGTTTTTCCTCCAATAATGAAAACCCAGTAACGCATTCCCTGTGTTTGGCCAAATGATAGTTCTGGGGAAAAACGGTTGTATATGAAAGTGAAAGCCACTAGATGGCAGCATTGCAGCTCATTTTATTAATCTATTTTAATAATCAACTTTTTTCAAACTTTTTTTGTTTTACATCGTCTCCAGTTTTCCACTAACTGTTTGTTGGACGTTTGTTAAAGTGTTGGTGGGGGGGGGGGGGGGAGGGGGGGGGGGCTGATCCAGATCACTGTTACTGTCTAGTGAGGTTTCACAAAGACCAGAACCAGCGCTGACATCATCAGGACCGCCCACTTCCTGTTTGTCATCCACAGTGGTTTGTTCCTGGACACTCCTACTACTTCCTCCTCCTCCTCTTCCTCCTCCTCTTCCTCCTCCTCCTCCTCCTTCTGCTGCGTCAACATTTTCTTTGCTTTCAACAACCTGGCAGGTTCTGGGATCCCGGATGGTACCGATGTTGGTCTGGATGGAGGACAGCGTCCTCTGCATGCCCTCTGGTGGCTGGCAGCGGTAAAGGCTGCGGAATGCAAAACGAAACCTCTGCGACATGGCGTTGTAGATGACAGGGTTGATGGCGCTGTTGGCATAGATGCAGGTCCGACAGAAGAGCAGGAACCAGGCGTCCAGGTAGGGCGTGGACACGAAGGAGTTGATCAGTACCAGGGTGCGATAGGGCATCCAGAGCAGAGCGAAGAGGACCACCACCATGGCCAGCATCTTCGTCACCTGGAGACAAACAGGTTCAAGGAAAACAGTAAAAAAAATCACCTTTCACTGAACCACCTCCCCCCCTCTCTCCTCCATCTCCTCCTTCTCACAGCTCTTATTTCTTATTGCCACAGAAACACCTCCACTTCCTTCTCCTCCTCCTTGGCAGCAGTAGGAGAGACAGTATCTTCCTCAGACACTCCTCCTCCTCCTCCACCTCCTCTTCCTCCCCAGCAGACGGAGTCAGAGATAAAGCCGCTGACAGCAGGTAAATATTTAAAAAAAGAAATCAGTGCACAACAAAGCGTGAAATTGAGCAGAGAGGAGGCGGAGTCTGAGCTGCTGTAATTATCTGTGATAATGAGACGCCAAACATCAGGCCGAGCCCCGGAGTATGGAAACGCAGGAGGAGGAGGTGGGAGGAGGAGGTGGGGGGAGGAGGTGGGAGGAGGAGGAGGGGTAGGTGGGAGGAGGCCACTGCAGCTCCAGGGAGGAAAATAAAAGGTCCGTGTTTCTCTGAGCTCAGTTTCATCAGTGATTTAGTAAAAAAACTTCAGAGTTTTTTCAGCTCTCATACAGTAGGTGGCGCTACTTTTTAGTTTTTATTGCTAAATTTGCAACCAGTCATTTTCCTTCACTTCTATAAAACTGTTCTGCCGACCGTGACGCCTTCTTTTAAATCCAGTAGGTTCTCTGCCAATAAGAACGCAGCGCCGTAAGCTCCACCCACATAGTTCAGTTATAAATTATAGACACGATCAGTTCCCAGACTGACAGGAAGTGAGGTCACTGACCTGTTTCCTGGAAGACAGCGCCGACTTGAGCCGAACCTGCCGACCTCCCTTTTCCACGTTGCAGGTTTCCCTGCAGCTGCGCCGCAGAGTGGTGGCGCTGTGGTCCGAATGGTTAGTCACCGGGCTGCAGGAAAATAAAGATCGACCACAGATTACCACAGATTACCACAGATTACCACAGATTACCACAGATTACCACAGATTACCACAGATTACCACAGATTACCACAGATTACCACAGATTACCACAGATTACCACAGATTACCACAGATTACCACAGATTACCACAGATTACCACAGATTACCACAGATTACCACAGATTACCACAGATTACCACAGATTACCACAGATTACCACAGATTACCACAGATTACCACAGATTACCACAGATTACCACAGATTACCACAGATTACCACAGATTACCACAGATGCCTTTTAATCCAAAAAAATACGTTTCCGAGGACCGTACCTGAGGTAGAGTATTCGTGCGATCAGGCCGTAGAGCACGATGGCGAGGAGCAGTGGAACCACGTAGAAGATGGTGAAGTCGGTGAGGTAGATGGGCAGGTAGAGGTCGCGCTTCACTCTGTAGCCACACTGAACATTTCCATCGTCACCAACCTGAAGAGTACACACTGGTTACAACTACACTGTAAAGTAACGTGTACTTCTACGACAAATACTGACACTCAGACCTGCAGCTACTTGTACTGTCGGTCAAACCAAGCCAAGGACGGGAAAAACAGATAACAACGCAGACGTCCATTGAGGAAATCAGTGATTTTAGCTCACTGCTCTTACTACTGCCTCCAGTGGTCAGTTTGTGTCACAGACTTAAACCTAAACAAAGGAGTGTCGTCACAAATATTGTTAACAACGATTGCCCAATATTATTTCCTTTAGTGGCTAATACTGGTTGTCTCTGGTGTCTCCCCCTGCTGGATCGCAGTGGGATGGCAGCTAAAATATTTGTCAGTTAATTATCCCACCTGAATATCAACCAGGAAGAACCAGAGCATGCAGTAGACACAGGTGGCGATCCAAACTCCGGCTATGATACGTTTGGCGCGGGACACAGTACACATGGTCTGAGCTCTCATTGGATGACAGATGGCGATGTACCTGCGCACAGGAAGACGAGAACGAGGTCAGGGTACGAAGGGTGGAACAACAGTTCCAGATCACAGGCAGCAGAATTTCAACATTAAATATAAATAGTTAGATATCGGAGAATCTGCTCATCGGGGCTAAACTGTTAGCCGCAAATTCGTAAAAAGCTAGCCTACAAATAGCTACATTTTGGGGACAATGAGTTAAAAAAATTGTAAATAATGCTATGAAAGAAATAAAAAATGGAAATTTCCAAAGAACTTTAAGAGTAGCTGAACGTTAGCAGGAATATAAAAGCTAACAAACAGTCATTGTTGGGTCCTGACCTCTCCACGGTGAAGGCGGTGATGGAGCAGGACGACACGTTGATGCCCAGATACTGAAAGTAGGTGATGCCCAGACACCCGGCGTGGCCAAACACCCAGGTCCCCGTCAGACTGTCTGCCACGTTGGGCAGCCCGGCAGCCACCAGCACCGTCAGGTCGGCTACAGCCAGGCTCACCAGGTAACAGTTGGTGGGCGTCCTCATGTGGCGGGCCGTCAGAACCACCAGGACCACCATGATGTTGCCAACGATCCCCACGCCACACACCAGCAGCACCAGGAACACCGACACGGTCTTGTACTCCAGGGACTCGGACACGTCCAGGACTGGACTCAGGGACATGTTAGTGGGCTTGTCCAGTCTGGAGCTCAGGTTCTGGGTCATGTCTGCTGAGAACTTCTGAGGTTTTACCAGAGTCGGGGAGGTTCACAGCCCATCACCGGGACTAAGAATGTCAGAGGATTAGAACAGAAAACAAGCTAAACGTTAGCCCGGAAATAGATAATACAGCTAGCTCGCAGACGATAGTTCAAAACAGACTCTGGAAAAAGACAAGTCTCCTGGACCAGAAGGTGAAATAATGAGACAACGCAGGAACAGAACGCAGGAACGTTCATCTGTCAGTGTCAAAGGCACCTGCAGAACTCTGGATCTCTCCGGAACTCCCTCAGTTCCTGCTGGAATCACAAGATTAATACTGTTTGGATGGAGAAGCACCAACGCAGCAGAACCACCAAGGTGGAACAAAAGGAGAAAACAGAACCTTTGTGTTCTGTGATTTCCACTCACTGTGAGAACATCAGTGATTCTAACTCAGAGCAGAGTCCAGGGCAGCTGTTAATCCACATTTACCTCCATCACAGAATTCAAATGTTTTTTTGTGACTGTTTCTAAACCCTGTGTGTTGAGTTCCCTCCTGAACTCCTCAGCAGCAGGAGACTTTGTGATTAAAGTCATGTCTCAAACAGCAGAAATGTTGAAACAGAGTTTTGAAGTTATTGAAGGATGAAGTGATTTTCCTGGTTTATGTTCAGCTCTCGCATTCTGCAGAAAACCAATTTAATTGTTAGCAACACAAGGACACGACACAAGTGCACACAGACAGACAGACTCACTCACACACACACTCACACTCACACACACATCATTGCTCCTGTCCTCCCTCTAATTAATTGACATGTGAACCAATCCCGTTCCTGTCTCTGGTCGTTGATCAGACTGGTCCTGATCTCTGGTCTCCACTGGACCCGTGTTCAGATTAAGACTTGTGTCTGTTCTGCAGTTCAAATAGAAATGTTCACATTGTTGCCATCAGTGACGAGTTCTAAAAAAAGCAGCAGCTGCTGGCCCACTACTGCCTCCTGTGGCAGGTCGGTGTCACTGAGGTACATCTGAACAAAGGATTTCATTGGGAAACCGGGGCATCGAACCAAGAACTCTGTCCATTTTACATTATTGACACATTGGCGCCCCCTGTCACTCAAGGATGGTACTGTTGATAAATGCTGTGTTCAGTAATTTTGATTTAATAATTAAAATTAACAACGTGAAAGAATTTGGAAAATCAGTGAAATGATGGAAACAGGAAGTTTCGAGGTGACAGAGCCACAGGAGTCAACCACAGCACAGATCAATCACATCCTGTGACCTGATTTTAAAACAAATCTGCAGATCTATGTGTCAGGTGAATGAATGATGGAATGATGACATGAAATGACGTCATGATGACAGCAAATGACACACGAACCACACACACTGATGATGAACTACTTTAATTAAGAAGAGATTTAAAGAACAATTTACCTGCAGCTTTAAAAAAAAAAAAATTTCCTCAGTAATCCTGTATAATCTGGGGTTCACAGATGAAGTCTGTTTATATGCGTGTGTGTGTGTGTGTGTCAGCAGCTCTTTACCTGTTGTCTGCAAGTGTGAACATCACAGCATCCCCCTCAGACTAACTGAGTTCTGGCAAACTTGCACGCGTGTAGACAGGAAGCAGCAGGCTCGCCTTCAAAATAAAGTGTCACATTTATTCAATTTAATTAATAGTTGCACACACTCTCACCCACACCAGCGTTCACAGAAACCGGGATTTTAGATCAGAGGGGCAGAGCAGCGGATGGCCCACTGCTGCCTCCCGTGGTCATTTTGTGTCACTGATGTAAACTGAACAGAGAGTTTTAAACGATGAGGTCACAAAATAAAACATTTAAATGTAATAATGGAGACATCAGTGGATCTACAAGTGTTGGGTGTCAGTGAACTAAACTCCACTATTTCGTCAATGGACTTTGGTGGTAGGACTAATACTGAGATAAAGAGATAAACTGATTGATGATACGTTTAAATTTGAACTGAATGACGTGTTATCATTTTTTACTAATGTATCTCTTTTGAACATTTTGGTGGTTTTATTTTGGAGAAGCGTCGGAGGAAGTGATAATGTTGGTTTTTAAAGTCAGCCGTTCTCAGTGCGTCTCTAAGGACAGAGGTTTCAACGACAAATGTCTTTAATTTACAGGGGGAAAAGTCCCCAGGCTTCAGTAGGAAAACAAGAGATTTGAGGCTAGAAAACGAATGATAAAAATTACGTTAAATTTATTTCGCGTCAAGTGAGTTGGGTTAAATAGTGTACAACTGCCCAGAGAGCTTCAACATTATTGCAGCCGGTTTATTAAATGTACCCTGTAGCCACAGTCTGACTGGATATAAAAGAGTTTCATCTTTTCCCCCGCTCTCTTCCATCACACACGCGCACGCGCTCACTTACATATAACCTTCCTACCTGAATTACTGCTGCTATCTGCTGGCTAAAATTGATAACGAAAAAAGTTTCTATTTTCCAGACCCTTATAAAAGCAACAAATGAACCAAAAATTAAATTAATAGTATACAAAAACAACATTAAAAATATTTTCCTAAAACTCGTTTTGTGAACCAATGTTTAAAAAGTTGTATTTTATCTTATTGTTAATATACTATTTGTATTTCTCCATTACATTTTGTTTTGTTAATTTCATTTGATCATCATTATTTCATAGTATTTTTCAAGCCATTATATCATTCAAAAATTATTTTGATTATTTTAATTGTAGTTTTAACCCGCAGCTCCCCTTTCCTCAAGCTCGTCGCCTGTGGATGACGTCTGTGTAATGGCCGCTGTCGCTGTGCTGTGCGGGCTGTTTTCTTCTCCACCTCCAACGCAGCGGCTGAACTAAAACCACTAAGAGTGACAGTAGACAGGCGGGAATTGCAGCAGCAGGTGGAGAGGGAGATCTTGGACCACGTACCCCCGTCTTTCAACGACTCCGGTTCGGTAAAGGTGAGCGAACTGTGAGCTTATTAGCAGCTATCAGAGCTAACGCCGCCGCTTCTGTTAGCTTAGCTGTTAGCGGCAAACCATCTGCCATTGTTAATTCACTGAGAGTGTGGTGAGTTATAGAAAGCGCCAATTGCTGTAGTTCTATGGTTATTTGTAGCGTCTGCTCTCAAACTCAACGGGTCAGAAGTAGTGGTTGCCTCGGGGAGGTGGGGCTCCGGCCGGTGGCGGTGTAGCGGCTGCAGCTCCGTGTCAGCTCCGGCTCATTGCGCGCTGCTAAGTTAGGGGCCTTCTACACTCGTCAAATAACTTATTAACTTGACAACAAACTATCACAGCCTTCATCGCTCCACGTTGCCCACCTCGCTGTGACTCAATTCAAAACCAAAGTCTTCATTAGCATTTATTCGCCCTGTGGTAGTTATTGATTAGGATTATCTGACTAATCGTGTCTTTTTCACAGTCTCCAGTTTACAGCACAAAACGGCAAACGACAAATTCGTCGACGTCTGAGCTCAAAACGTGTTGTGAAAAACAAATTTTTCCTTATTTTGGCCCTGATTTAACATTTATTTAAATAAATTATGAGGTGGATAAAAATACAAAATTTCTTTACAAAATCGTCTGATTTAACGTTGTGAGTTATATTGAAGCAATATCTGTAGTATTATGACAATTATAATTGGATATTAAAATGTGTAAATATGCACTTCATCACTAATCAATAGTCCAGAGAACTGTTATGTTGGAACTCTTTGATTCAAGTGCTGACAGAGTCCAGTTCATCACTGGGTCACGTCCCGTTACTTTTAGTAAGACTCATCAGTCAGTGTCAACAGTGGGTTCTCTGTGGTCGGATTCTTCTCTTCATGACGACGATCCTCTCGTACGGTTCTTTTCTCCCTAAAGGGAAAGAAAAGGCCAACATTAACATGGATCATGTGACCACAGAAGACAGTTCCGTCCTCCTTGGTCTGGGCTCCTCAAAAACCGGTCCCGTTCTGGGCCCAGATCCGATCAGTTTTGATCGTCACTGTGGTCCAGAGAGTGCATTGAAGTTGTTGCTGCAGCCCTTTCTTCTCCTCACTCCAGAGGCTCTTCATGATGTAACAAAACATCACAGACATTAAAGTTATCTTTCATGGTGACATCATCATCATCATCACTCAGGCCTTAGACAGGCATAAACATGGTCTTTTCACCATGTTGATGTGAAACTGCTCAGCTCTGATTATGTTTAATGACATGTTCCCAATTAAAATGATATTAATTTCATTTAATTCTTTTGATGTGGTTTGAATGACACTGGACCACGACCCTCCTATTGAACCACAGCTTAACAGATAAACTCCCCAGAGAAATATTACAATAAATATATTTTGTCAATTTAAATGACATCATTAATTAATATGTGTTTGTTTTAGTTCATTTTTATTTGAAGAGCAGTGAACATTTAAAAAATATATCTTTACCAGAATTTCACCTCCACCATGTCAGCAGTGTGTTTCCCAGGTATGTGTGTGTCATCGTGGTCACAGGTCAGGCTCCGAGTTAGAACTGGATAATGTGTTACTGGAGGATTATGGGTAACGAACCATTTCATGAAATGTTGTCACTTCTTTTGCAAAATCAATAATGTGTGTGTGTATACATATATACACATATTATATACAAACATTTATATATTTTTCTATATATTGGCTGTGACAGTGAAAAAAATCTTCTATATTCGTTCCATTATTTAAATTTTTATTCATTTATTGACTTTTTTTTACATTTTATTTTATTATCTTTTTCATAATTGTTTGATTTTATTTTTATTGTTTTGTTACTAGAGTTTTCTGGAATGGATTCTCCCGAGAGCCCCACTCAGTCTCCTCAGTCTCCAGAGGAGGAGGACTGTGATCTGCTGGATTCATCTGAGGAGGAGGAGGGTGGGGTCATCGATGAGGAGGAAAATGGAGAGGTTGTCCAGGATGAGGAGGAGGAGGAGGAGGAAGGAGAAATGCAGGGGGTAGGAAGACTAGGGAGAGGTCTGGGGCTGGAGGAGTTGGAGGAGGAGGAGGAGGATGATGATGATGATGATGAGGTGGTGCCAGACTTTGTTTCTGATCCAGACGATGAAGAACCTGGAGGAAGTGGTCGAGAGGAGGAGAGCTTTGTGCTGATGGAGGGAGATGAAGATTGTCCTCAGGATGGCCAGTTGGACGGTGTGGAGGAGGAGGACGATGAGCAGGAGGAGGAAAGGGTCATCGATACTCCACAGTCTCCAGACTCTGAACCAGAACAGGTCAAGAACTTTACTGATGAAGAAGAGCGAGAAGTAGGAGTCGCTAAGAACAAAAAAAAGTTCTCAGCCGAACCAGAGGAGGAGGAGGAAGATGAGAGGGTCAGAATTGAGGAGGAGCAGAGGAGGAGACAAGCTGCTGCTGTGAAGCAGCTGAAGGAAGACCCTACGTCTGTCTCCCGTGAACTCGACGAACACGAACTGGATTATGATGAGGAGGTGCCGGAGGAGCCCAGCATGCCTGGGAATGAGGAGGAAGAAGAAGAGGAGGATGCAGAGGAGGAAGAGGAGGAGCGTGAAGACAAGAGCAGCAAAAAGAAAGAAAAGAAGCCCATCCTCCCTCCATCTCCTCAGAACAAGGAGTTTAAACGAGCAGAGGAGTCCCGAGGTTCTGAGAGGACGAACCGAGACAAGAAGAAGGAGGAGGACGACGGAGAAATTGATGAAGGAGAAATTGATGTAAGTGAGGAGCACATGTTCTCCAGTCCAGTCCAGAAGTGGTACTGTTCAGGGGCCCACTGTTCTTGTGGTTCTGATTCTTCTGTCTTTGTGTTTCCATCAGGACGATGACCTGGAGGAGGGTGAAGTCAAAGACCCCTCAGACAGGAAGATCAGACCTCGGCCCATCTGCAGGTTCTTCATCAAAGGTGGGCGACAGAGAACCGATCATGAGCGCAGTAGAACAGTTTCTTGGTTGGGTCTCGTTACTTCAGACTGTATTTCTGCAGCAGTGGCAACTATTTAGTTTAGTCAAAGAGAGTCAAAGAGAGAGAGAGAATAAATCCAGCTTTTAGTCCAGTAACGTCCATCCATCATCGTCCACTCATCCGTGGCTGGGTCGCCGTGGCAACAGTCTGAGCAGTAGTTCAGTAACAACAACAATTAATAAAGTCCAACATGTTTTTATTTTATTATTATTATGTGTAGGGCTTTTTTTTGTCCAACAGGGGGAGACATTGCACCTCGTGTGTTTGGTCAGACTCACAGTAATGATACCTGTAACTACAATTACTGTTGACTTTGAATCTATGTTCTAGCTAATAGTGTTAGTTGAATCCATTACTCTGTCTTTATAAAAATACACACATTAGCTTTATTTTTATTGAAGTCCACAGAGAAAATCAGTGATTTTAGATTTTAATATTTTTGTTTATTGTTGTGTTTCCTTCAGGAAATTGTACCTGGGGCATGAACTGCCGGTTCATTCACCCAGGAGTCAATGACAAGGGCAACTATTCACTCATCACAAAACCAGACCTTTTCCCACCCAATGGAGCGCCCCCTGGAGGACCCCATCCACTCATACCTAACAGTCCTTGGGTACGTGTCGACATTTATCCAGTACTGATGAAAACATGAACTAATGTCAGAAGCAGGTAAAAAAAAAAAGAGAGAGAGAAAAGTTCAATAAACTCAGACGTTAAACCATTTCTGTTACAACGTTGTAGACGGGACCTGCAGTGGAGGAGCTCCCTCCACCCCCTCCTCCTGTGGAGCCTCCTGTGGAGAGTGCATGGGAGCGCGGTCTACGGCATGCCAAAGAGGTGAATGCAGTTGTTCATTGAGCCTGAAATGACTGGATTTAACTCACTCTACATTATTGTTATAATTAATGTCATTATAATTATTATTACATATTATATTATTATTATATAATATATAATTATTATATAATTAATACAATCATTGTCATTTGTTCACTGTGTAACAGATAACAACTCTTATACGAATCAGTACTTGCTGACATGTCGCCCTCTGCTGGTTGTTAACTGTTGGGTCACATGTTCCACAGGTGCTGAAGAAGGCGACCATCCGTAAAGAACAGGAGCCCGACTTCGAGGAGAAGCGTTTCAACGTGACCATCGGAGAAGACGAGAGAGAACTGGACAAGGAGAACGACTTCTTCAGAGAACGCAGTTACCGCATCATCAGAGAGTGAGACACCGCCGCTCACCGCCACACGGGGCAGTTGAACATAAAGCTAAAGATTGTTACTGACTACATAAAGGGTTGTCTAAAATAATGGGGAATGACAATTCTTTATCTCATGGATCAATGAACATGAAGTGAACATTAGTCAAAATAAATAAGTAAATGTTATTTATAAAAACATTGTTGGAAAACAACAAGTTGGAAAAGAAACATTTCTCTCTGTTCATCATGTTTTTCAGTGAAATGGACTTCAGAGATCCAGTCTACAGGTACGGACCGACCACACTCTCACTACTGTAATCAATCACTCCATTGTCTTTGACCAAAGGTGACGCTTGTAGATTTATCAATTATGGGATTTTGTATTTTTAAACACTTGGCATGTTTGTCTTCTTCCCCTGGCCTGTAGGTGGTGCTAAGCACACATTTCAAAGCCCTGTTCCATTTTTCTCATTCACTGTTTTGGTGTGAATTCCATCCTGTGAACTGGGTCAAAACTTTTTTGATAGAATAAAGAACACATTTAGCCGAATGTGGGAAAAAAACATTAATATTTGATTAACATTTTGTCTGTTGGGCTAGACAACACCCAAGGATTCAGGGACGTTTCAGTGGTGCATATTAGCAGCTTGCTAGTAAAGGGCCGGGAGCTGTTGTGTCTTCTTCTTCTTCTTCTTCTTCTTCTGTGACTTTAGCGACAGGTGTTGCATGTTGAGGGGAAATTAAATCTGAAATGGTTCTGTGATTTAGTTTTTTGATACAAGTTTTACATTCACCTGAAAGAGGAAGATGAAGAAGACGGATGTGTGGTTCTGTTCTGTTCTGTTCTCTCATCCTCCCACCTGTTCTCCACCTGCAGCGACCCCTACAATGATCCTTACTACGACTATGAAATGGAGGCGCTGTGGCGAGGCGGGCAGTATGAAAACTTCAGAGTGCAGTACACAGAAGCTCCACTGCCCTATCACTATGGCGTGAGTACCTCCCTCCACTTGGTGGGGTTTCTGCGCTCTGTAAACACCTCCAGGAGACGTCTCTGGTCTCAGTCACAAGTTTCAGGTTTTTCCATAAAACATTCACTCTCCGTCCCCAAAGAGAAGGGCATCGGCTGTGGATCCACTGCTGCCCCCTATCTCTCAGTTTCACTGCACTGTTTATTCCCCCTTGTTTAGATTGACCTCAATGACACAATCTGGCCACAGGTGGCAGCAGAGGACCAGCAGCTCCTGTGTCTCTGAACTAAAATCACTGATTTTCTCTGTGGACTTTGGTGTGGGAGAGTGAGTGGTTGAAGAACCTCAGTTTGTTGTGGTAAACATCTGACTAACAGTCATGGAAATATTTGAAGACATTAGTCACAAAGGTTTAAGACACAGTAAATATTGTTTGGAAATAGTAAAGATTCCATACTGGACAACTTCCCATCCTTTAGCTAATGGCAGTGGTTACTATCTCAGCTCCCCCTGGGGGCTGAGATAGTAACTGCATTGACTGTGTGTCATGTACTGCAGCAGGGTCCACAGACTGGTAAATGGAGTACTAGTGGCAAAAGTATTATTGACTAGTAGTGTTTTTCAAATGTAACCTGCGGCTCCCTTGTGGACAGGAGCGCGAGCGTGAGCCTCAGGATCGTCACCGCGAAAGGGAGAGAGAGAGAGATCACCGAGAGAGAGAGCGTCGGCAGAGAGAGCGGGAGCGAGAGAGGGAGAGAGAACGTGAGAAGGAGAGGATGAGGAGGAAAGAAGAGTGGGAGAGGGACCGGATAAAGAGAGACGACAAGGACAGGCCCAGGATGCGTCCTCCTCGAGAAACCAGGGACAAGAAGGAAGAGGACAAGATGAAGCCTCGGTCGCCTCTCGGCCTTCCACCAAAGTAAGTCCAGACTTTTCTGACACTGACCTCCTCCGTGTCAGGTCATGTGCCAGCTCTCTGCAGAGCGGAGCCGTAGGAATGCGCTCACCTCACAGGTGGCCAACATGGCTTCTAATCATTTAATCATTTCTTTGATTGCAGCCTTTGACAAATAATTAATTTAAGGTTAGGAGTGGAGGCAGCAGTGGATCAACACCTACTGTGTCTGTGCAAGAGCTCAAATCACTGTTTGTCTCTATGGACTTTGGTCTAGGAGGGGAGAGACGTTTACAAATGTCACTCCCTTGTTGTTGAACTCTGTCTGACAGTGAGAGATAAAGGAGTAAAAATGATTCAAATACCTCAGGCCTCAGGCAACACAGTGGGCCTCTCTGAGGAGGAGGTGAAATTTAAAATGATCAACAGCCACTCTGGGACTCGCCCCAGGTTTCTCTCACTCATCAAAAGTATTTTTGCAGTTGGAGTGTTAGGATTGCAAAATGGTGAGTGTGTGTGTGTCTTTGTAATCGTGCCCCACCTCGGGTGATGACATCCTGAAAGTGATTCAGATGATGCCACTTCTCTTTTCTTGTCCTCCATGGTGTTGAGGACAAGTCTGGATCTGTTTCTTCCACCTTCTGATCCTCTGTTATGAAATGCATGGAAACTTCCTTTAACTGAGAGTTGTTTTGATATTGACAGTGAAACTGAGGCCTTGTTGAAACAGACGCTGACGTCTTAGTGCTATTTCTATAACTTTGTGCAGATAATGTGACATCAAAACTACGAACTCATCAAACCGCCGCTGCCTGGAATATACTGCGGTTCTACGAGCAGGACGACATATGTTGTTTTGGTTTGTTTTTTCCCCAATGTAACTGTAGTGTCATCATAGTAAAGACTCAGTGCTGTTCCATCCTAACGTCAGGTTACTGACACTGGAACACAGGATGTTGACTTTGATATGGATATGGATATTTTGTTACACCCTAGTAATACAGTCAAAGGATACAGTTCTGTTATTAATACATCTGAGAGTTGGAGGCCAATAGATTGGTGTGTGTGTGTGTGTGTGTGTGTTATACCTTTTGTTCAGGTCAGTGAAGGACTTTTTGTTGACACACTGTTTGACGTGACTTTGTTTTGTTTCTTCTGCAGCTGCTACACATTTCCATCGTTCAAATTCTGGACTTTTTTCAGTTCAGTGTGATGGTTTTTTATGGTCATGCCGTGTTTCTCTTTAGTGCAATTCACCAAACACAAACAGCTGGCACACGCCCACCTGTCGGCATTGTTTTCAGCTGCAAGTGACGTGAAAGCACAGGTGATATTACCTGCTGCGGGCCATGTGGAAATCCTTCCTGTTTGAACAAATCGGCCAAGAGGATGTGCAAATTTCCCTGTGATCTACATTTAATCTCAGAGACCAGAAAAACTGGTTGAACTTTGCTGAAAAAAATACATGGAAAATACAAACACCGTTAAAGAAACTTCCAGGTTAACCTGTTAGAGGGCGAACTGTGTGTGTGGGGAAAAAAACCACTAACGTTGTCACAGTGTCACGTTGGTCGACCTCAGGTGTTTGTCCATGTTCACTTCACTAACTTTAGAATTAGAAACGGTTTGTGAAGGGCTCCCTCTCTAATACCAAGGTCCATAGAGAAGATCAGTGATTTTAGTTCAGAGCAGGTCTTTAACAGACGAGCACAGTGATGTTATGTTGTGTTGTTGAGGTGAAGGTAAAGATTAAAGCCTCGGATGAAAAACTGTCCTCACCCCTCAGTGCTGATGTTTGTTCTTAAACAGACAAACACTCTCAGTGAACCGTGACGCTGATTTTCATCTTCACGTTGTGTGGCGTAATCACTGTTATTACACTCATTAAAACACACACACACACACACACACACACACACACTGCTGCAAACATCCGCCAACCTCCTGCTGCGGTCTGTGCCGGGCCTAATTGATTTATGTGTCCCGTTGTTAGATTACATTAGATTAGATCAAATTAAATTGGATTTGATCATTTTATCTCGTCATGGTAGAGCACACAGCCAACGTGGCCAAACTCCACAGGAAAATATATGTATAATAAACAGATGATCAGTAGAAAATCCATCATTCGACACACGTCACAACAAACATCTGTCCAGCCTACGGAGTCGATCAGTTCTACTACACACAGCCCTGTGACGGGCTGGAGGTACGTGAGTGAAGGGCTGTGCTTTAAGGTCAAAGGTCAGTTTGGTTTGGGAAATAAACTGGTGTTGAGTCTGTTTTGATTGAGTTCAAACAGATGCTGTGCAGGTTAGTAAAGGTTCCTTCAGGTGTCATCCAAGGCAGGTGGCGCTAGTGGTTTGTGATGTTCTGTCAGGTCTCTCTGTGGAGCAGTGGTAGAAGGACGTTCTTCTTCCTCGGTGTTCTCAGGAAGTACTGACGCTTTTGTTCCTTGGTGAGGAGAGTCGTGGTGTGTGTTGGTCTCAGATATATACGTATATATATGTGTGTGTCCAAGAATTTGAAGCGGGACACCCTTTCCACTAGAGGTGTAAGAAAATGTATGCAATATTCCATTTCCTGATCCCGTATCAGTCTCCTCAGTCATCAGTTATTGATTATTTTCTCACCAACTCCCAGTCCAATATTCCTGGTGTTGGTTCATTTTCTTGTTCTTTTCTTTCTTCTCTAGTGATTCCAAATGTAGATCCCTCTGGTCCAGTCTTAGTAACTGATGTTCAGATGGAACAATCGTGATACGTATGGTATCGTGATACGTATGGTAGATTGGTAAAAACAAAACTCATTATATCATCGTGACTACAGTGTTGCATTAGATCGTATCGTGATACGTATGGTATCGTGATACGTATGGTATCGTGATACGTATGGTATCTCCAGATTCTTGCCAGCACACAGTCCTAGTTTCCAGCTTTTCCCAGTTGATGTACAGTGGCAGATTTTTCCACAAATCAATTACTGACAGCTTTGATATGGTGCCCCGGTCTGGACGTCTCATTATCTCCTCTCTGTTTGCAGAGTGTAATTACAGGAAGCACTCGACTGGATCATTAATTAAGAGCTAATTTTAGCTCAGAGAAAGCAGCTAAAAATAGCTGCAGCCAGTGTTGTGTGTTTATTTTTAGCCTGCGTCCACACACTGCCTTTGTGTCACACCTGTGGAATGTTCTGTTTGACTGCTGGATGTGGACTTTTCAGGCCTTTGTAGCATTGTGTGTGTGTGTGTGTGTGTGTGTGTGTCTTTGTGTCTTTTATTCATTCACTGTAAAGAGGAATTCCAACTGGACGACCCGGTTCCCAGCCACGTTGGCCTTTGTGTCTCCTGATATCAGCTTTGATCAGTGAACGCAGCACATTGTTCACCGTCAGCCTCGTGTAATCAAACCTCCAAACCTCCTCCTCTAAATGCCTTCACCAGGCACTGATGGATCCTAGCGGCCCTCTTACGCCTCCTCTTCCTGTTGTCTCAAAGAATCTTCCATTCACACCGGGAATATCCACTGTCATCCTTTCATTTCCTCCAACAAACATTGCATCGCCTTTTTTCCCCTCAAAAACAAACATCTGCCCCTCTGCGGGGGAAAACCCCCGCCCGCTCTGATGGGAAATGTCGTCGTTGTAAATCATTTTCCACATTTTAGTGCACATCTGTGATGTCATCACTTCACCCTGGACTGTAATCAATCCGTTACAGGAGAGTGTCAGAATGGCCGTGGCGCTCCTCTGACCATCTGTGCTTCACTAAGCACAGCACTGATTATTAACTGCGTTAACCAGTTTTTGTCACGAGTTAATGAGTAAACTCTGCAACATCTGCTACTAAACCGATGCATGTCAGCCATGTTTGAACCTCAGTGAAAAAAAACAAACATACAATTTACACAAAGAGAATTTGGTCAGAGCTAAAACAAAAAATAAATGCTGAACCAGGAGGGCTGTTTGGTTCAGGAACAAATCAGAATCACGGTTATTTTGATTCTAACTGAAATCACGATTATTCTTTGATTTGAGAACTTGCTTTTGTTGAACTTTTAACCTTTATTGAACGTTAAAGTAACAGAAACCAAAACAAAGTGAAAAAATATAAATAATATTGTAACGTGTTGGGGGCGGCACCCATTTTCCTGGGTGCCTTGAACGCCCCACGGTGTAGTGCACGTTATGACGGCTGTTCTGCTCCGAGCCGTCGGTCGGTCTCAGCGTGAGCTGCCGTCAACAACAACAACAACAATAAACCGTTTTGTCATGAAAACAATCATTTCACTGCTCCGCTACGATATCTGAGTAAAATAATAAATAAAAATAGATAGAAAAACGATGTGGCAACATACTCCCAACAAACAGAGACAGAATGATTAGAATAAATTCAACTTCCTCTTCCTCGCTCTCTCTCAAAACAAAATGGAAAGTACTGTTTGTTGCAGGGGTGTGTGTGTGTGTGGGGGGGGGGGGGGTTGCTGTAGGGTGTCCTGCTGCAGTGACATCACATGATTGGCACAATAATCTTGATTGTCTCGTTTTCATGATCGTAGGAAACCAAAACTGAACCGTTATCAAAAAAACATTTGAACATTAAACATGAAGTCGAACAAACAGTCAAAAAGAATCTCACTGTAGCTGAAGTTATCTGTCTGTCTCGTTGTAGAGGCATATAAAAAATTTAAAAAATGGATAAATAACTGGACGACTGAAGGAGAAAAGTAATGAAGGCTGATAATTGTGCAAGCCAACAGAGGGAGGGGGCTGAGCCTCATCTTTGGTCAAGTAAACGAGGCCTAAAACGTTTGAGCATAAAACTAAAACAGAACAACACTAAAGGTTAGCCTTGAAAGCTGCTCAGCGTTGAATGAGGCGAGCAGAGGAAACCGTTGAGTGAGTTCACCGTGAACACGGTTCTCCATCTTCTCAGCAGGCCGATGGAACCGCCCACAAAGAAAGAAGTTCTTCCTTTAATGCGGAGACCGGACGAGTGGAAGGATCCGTGGCGTCGGTCCAAGTCCCCCAGGAGACGTCCCGGTCTCGGTTCACCGCCGCGAGGCCGCAGAAGACACAGACCTTCTGGATCGTCGGTTTCTGTGTCCAACTCCTCCAGGTACGCTGGACGCTCCCTAGACACGAGCCTCCCGAAATACCACCACGTTACCACTCTGCGACTGTTGTAAGATTTTCCTCCTGATACGAGGAAACATCGAGACACACTGTGGCGCTGTCTCGCTCACTGTCTCTCTCTCTCTCTGGGTTATTTTACCCATTTTTATAAGAATAATATAAAATGTTTTCTTAATTTTTATTTTATTTTATCAATATATTTGTTTACATCTATGTTTTTGATGTTTACATGCGGGGGTTAATGTTATTAATTAATAGTATATATCTGGAGAGCTGGAAAAAATTAATTGGTTTTTAGTTATTTTTAATGGGGCAAATTGAACAGAGAGACGAGTGGATCGACACAGGAGTGCTGCTGTGGACCGGATCAGACCGGTGTCTGAGGGGGACGGGGGGGGTCCTCACACAGGTCTACACTTAAGACAAGGTCCAGATCTGCAGCCGGGTCTGTAGCTGTTGTCACGTGTAGACCCAAGTCTGGATCCAGGTTCAGGTGGAGACATGTAGGTCATCGTCTACATGTAGGTCGATTGGTAAGTGGTTAGTAAAACAATGACAACAATGTTGGGTGTGGAGCTCCAACGTCACTTCTTGCGTCATCTTTTTGATTAAACTTTTATTATTATTATTCTCACTCTGAGACTTCAACCAGACGTCAAGGTTCCAGTTCCGTTGGTTCTGCTGGTCTGACCAGTTCCATAGGTCAAACGCAGCCGACCTGTGTTTGACAGAAGTGACGATTAAGCAACATTAAAGAGGAGGCGGTTCTGCTGGTGATGACGTTTCTGTTCTCTGACGGGCATCACTTTCAGGAACCGTCGCCTAATGAGCTTTAATTAGCTTTTAAACTGTGACATCATCGATCGGCAACCGTGACGGTCCAAGTCCTTTGGATCACACGGTTTACAGTGAACAGTCATTAAACGTCCATGTTAAACCAATGTGACCAGACCAGTGTTCTGGTCACAGTGAGGGATGAAGGGTTTGGGGATGTAATCCGTCTACTTGGATTTCCACCTCATCTTTGTATCGACCAAATGACACAAAAACACATTTGTCCCTCTGTTTGTGTGTTGCAGATCTTCGTCCCGTTCTTCGTCCTACACCGGCTCTGGTTCTTCTCGCTCTCGCAGCCGGTCCTCCTCGTTCAGCTCCTACTCCAGCCACTCCTCACAGCACAGCTCCTTCAGCGGCAGCCGCTCCAGGTGATCAGATCAAATCAGGAGAATTCAGCAGCGAAAGTGAAAGACTCACTTAAAACAAATCCGACCTCGGCTGTTTGTAAACCATTTGGTCCACCACAGTAAAGTTCAGAGAGAAACTCTGTAGCTTTAGCCCAAAGGGAGACAGGAAATACAGGCCTGAGCTAAAATCACAGTAACAACCTTCAGTTGCTGCTCCTTCTGTTCTTCAGGTCTCGCTCCTTCTCCTCGTCTCCCTCCCCAAGTCCGGCAGCACTAAGGACAACAAAGAATAAACCTGACCTTTCACCTGCACCAACTAAAGGGTGAGAAACGACATGTGTTGTTCAAACCTTTTTTAAATTTTCGACCATAAAATTAGTTTAAAGCCTCAGGACCTGCCAACTCTGACAAACTGCTCAAATTATTCCCTTCCCGGAATTTTCTTCTCTTTCTGTCTGTTGACGTTGTCATCAGAACATCCTCGAGTTGATGCATTATTTAGTGTAAAAAATAGACCCACTAGGTGGCAGTAATCTAACTCAACAGAGTCAGAGCTGATCGCAAAAGACCAAAACAGTAGCAAGGCGCTAACACGCTAATGTGCTAGCCTGCTGCGAACTGACTTTAATTGTTCATTTCTAATTCCCAGTAACTCCCTGCTGAATAAGGGAACGAGGCTTTCAAAAATGTACTCAGCGCCCCCTACAGACCAAAGGGGGGAACTCTCTTCCAGCAAACTAAAAAATACTAGAAAAACAGAAAAAATGCAGACTTGACCTTTAAATCACAATAATCAAAAGTTCCTTTTTTACCCCCCAGGATGCCGTCTAAGCCGAACATGGCTCCGCCCCCTCGCCGTGACAAGCCTCCCACAAAGAAACCTCCCAGTCCTGCGCCACCTACTGGACCATCAAACAAAACGGCTAAACCCCCACCTGAGGGAGGCAAGCCCCCCACCAATCCACGGGAGGGCGGAGGAGGAGCAGGCGGCGGGGCTAGCAGTGGTGTTGCAGGAAGAGCGCCCCCACAGAGAGAAGCAGGAAAGGCTCCCAACCCACGGGAAGGACGACAGAAAGAACGACAGCAGCATCCACCCCGCAGGTGAGAGCGACGCGGGACGAGGTTTTTTTTTGTGCCATGTCTGGAAGGAATTTCATTTGACAGGAATCAGGAAACGAGAGTGGATTGTGTTCCTGTTTAACACTTTCACCCTTTTATCAACCTGCACGGAACATTGGAAAACAAATCAGTTTCGGCAGCGGCTGTAGTCGCTTCATTGTTGACCGACCTTTTGGACATTTTAGTCTTTGGCTAGATTTTCCCTTGACTTCATCAGTTCTTAAATGTTTTAGTTTTGTTTTGGTTTTTTTTTGTAGTCGTTGAAATAGTTTCACTGACTTCAGATTCTGGGCCGAGCTGTACCGCGCCTGTCGTCAGTCCTGTCCGGTTCAGGTGTGTGTCCGTAGGTGTTCAAATGTCCCGCTTTGGTTACTGACTGGGATCACCGAAAGAATTTGAATGTTTGTGTGGGAGTGTGTGTGTGCGTGTGAGCGGTACAGTGTTGTCTGGTACTTTTGGGGAATGACCCCAGAGTCATCGTGTGGGTGAGGAAGTGGGCAGAAAAATGATAGTCAATAATGCTGCACTTGTGTTGTTTTGGTGTTTGCGTGTGTGTGTGTGTACAGTGTAGCGTGAGGAGAGGCAAAGGGCAGAGTGTAACAGATGGTAACAATGACACTGTGTGTGTGTGTGTGTGTGTGTGTGTGTGTGTGTGTGTGTGTGTGGGTTGGCATGTGGGCAGCGCCAGCTTCAGGTTCGTCGTTCTCGTGGAAACTGTCCTTGCAGAACCGGTTTGTCTGATACCTCAGTGTTGTTGCATAAGTGTCTGACGTCCCGTGATTGACGGCTACGGTGTAGTCCACGCTACACTTGAAGCTACGTTCTCATAAAGAGTCGTCCTCTGTGTTTTCCTTCGTCCCTAATTTGCTGCGTGCCCATGAAATGAAGCAGTACCGCTGGAAACCCTGCGGAGGCGTTTCCAGCGCAGGTCAATGGACTGTCGTGTATTTATTATAGAGTGGAACCTGGGTTTTGGAACTTGAAGTCCGTTCTTGATCCGAACAGTTTGAAAACTGAGTCAGTTTTCTTCACCATAGGAATCAACGTCAAATGGAGGACTCGGTTCCTGGAGCCTGGGGGATTGTTGATTCAAACTTGTTCAACCGTGTTTCGTGAACAGGTTCATACAAGAAACCAATAAAAAGAAGAAGAATAAGAGCTAACAAAACAAATCAACGCATCTGAATAAAGAATAAAGCTATAAATAGGAAAGGACATTTCATTGGTGCGTACGGTTGTTGAGGAGTCCTGATTGGACGACGTTCACTTCACTGTGGCTGGCCAACTGCTAGTGAAAGCTAAAAACTTTGTTCAACTATTTGTATAAAAAGGGAGGCGTTTGACGTCTGCTTTTCCACTGTATCGATCTTCTCAACTTAGAAGAAATAACTAAAAGGTAGCTAATAAGTAGGAACATAAGAAGAACATACGTTCAGTTCGCCAAAAAGCTGAAAATGTGAAAAAGAGGCAACAGTTTTAACTTGGTAAAAAATGACGTTTTTCTGTCCAAATGAAGGAAACAGGCAGGACTGCAGTGAAATTGTTGAAAAAAGATGAACTCCAAATGTTGGACATTTGTCTTCAGCTCTTCATTGTCCGACCACAGGACTGCTGTAGGGCCGTCCTATTATGTTGTTGATGGTGGAAGTTGTGTCGTGGTTCATGACTTTTTGACAAAACTGATGAGATGATGAAACTACTGCAGCTGCACGGACAGGAGTTGACACAGAGTCAAAGTGACAAACTAATTCTGATGATGTCAGCAGCCGAACATCGACCTCGAGGTGTCAACGTGAACGTGAATATTTTTATCTCATTTTGACACTGCACACAATAAAATGTGACCTCTGCTTTTAAACCATCACCAGAGGCACCAGGGGGCGTATACGCCCGGGGAGCAGTGAGTGGGGACGGTGCCATGCTCAGAGCACCTCAGTGGTAACTGGGCAGCTGGTGGACTCGAACCTGAAACGTCCCGGACCCAAGTACACTTCCTTAACCACCAGGCCACCACTGCCCATAATGTAATTGTCATAAGAATTTACAGGACAACTTGTTCCTTTTGTTCACATCTTCATCTCAATGAACACCAAAGTCAATAGAGAAATTTAGTGATTTGTCATCCCACAACACAAGCACTGCCAGTCCACTGCTGCCTCCTGTGATTTTCTCTATGGACTTTGGTCTGAGCTAAAATCACTGATTTTCTCTATGGACTTTGGTCTGAGCTAAAATCACTGATTTTCTCTATGGACTTTGGTCTGAGCTAAAATCACTGATTTTCTCTATGGACTTTGGTCTGAGCTAAAATCACTGATTTTCTCTATGGAGTTTGGTCTGAGCTAAAATCTGTCTCTGCAGACGAACGGTGAGCGGTAGCATCAGTGGAAGTGCCAGCAGCTTCACCGGCTCCAGTTCCAGGTCCAGGTCCAGATCATCATCCAACTCTCTTTCTCACTCGCGCTCCGTCTCTGCAGACGAACGGTGAGCGGTAGCATCAGTGGAAGTGCCAGCAGCTTCACCGGCTCCAGTTCCAGGTCCAGGTCCAGATCATCATCCAACTCTCTTTCTCACTCGCGCTCCGGATCCAGAAAATCCAGGTAGAGTGAGAAGCGTGCAATGAATGAAATGAAAAAATGAAAATGTAAAACACTGACTCAAAGAGAACATTGACTCCTTTCACTCCCTGCAGATCGTTGAGTGTCAGCAGCGTGTCTTCTGTCTCGTCGGCATCGTCCAACAGCAGCTCGGTGCGGAGCGCCGACTCAGATGACATGTACGCCGACCTTGCCAGCCCAGTCTCATCGGCCAGCTCCCGTTCGCCCACGCCTAATCATACCCGTAGAGAGCGAGGAAATGTAAGAGAGCAGTTGCCGCATGGACGAGACAAGAACAGAGGTGAGCAGCAGAAAATAGTCCCGCGGTTAACAACCTTCAGAGCTATCACTGTCTCACAGACCAAAGTCCATAGAGAAAATCAGTGATTTTAGCTCAGACCAAAGTCCATAGAGAAAATCAGTGATTTTAGCTCTAGACCAAAGTCCATAGAGAAAATCAGTGATTTTAGCTCAGACCAAAGTCCATAGAGAAAATCAATGATTTTAGCTCAGACCAAAGAGAAAATTGGTGACACAGTAGCTGCTGTTTCTGTTCGCACTAATTTCACTCTTCTGTTTAACAATGTTGTTATTCTATTAAGATTCTAATCGTTTTTTGTTTTTTTTTCTACAAATCAAACATTTTTTAGAATTACATGAATTTATCTAAGACTCTCACGTTGTCTGTATGAATGGGCTTTGGCAAAGATTTTGCAGGTCACTGATGAATTTTCATTTATATCACAGAGAGACCTCCAAAGAAGGATGAGCCTTTCCGCGATGATCGAAGGAGGGTCGACTCGTTCGGTGCACCCCCAAGAGGAGGCAACACCATGTCTCGATCTGGACCTGGAAACAGGGGTGGCCACCCGGGCCATCCTCCTCCAGGAAACATGGGTCCCCCTGGGAACTATGGCGGCTCAGGTTCCCATAAAGACATTAAACTCACCCTCCTCAACAAGGTTTGTTAGCTTCAACAGAACACGTGTGTTTCTCCAGGTTTGGTGTTCTCCCGTTTGTGTGGGAATATTTTTATCGATTGTCTGGTAAAACTGGACCTTTTGCTAACCTTGGTGACGTCTTTTCATGCAGCAGCAGGCGGAAAAGGGCAACAGGAAGAGGTACCTGCCGTCAGACAAAGACAGACCACCTTCTCCTCTCAGCAAGAGAATGGCCATGTCTCCAGACAGAGGTAAGAGTAAACGCAATCATGGCCACTTCTCCGCCTCTAGTCAGCACAGCCACCCTTGTGGCACCAGCAGCCAATGGAAATCCACATCGCCTCTGAGCAGCTCTCCAGTTGTTGGTTGTCGTTTGACGTTTTTGTGAATTTTTAAAAGTTCTCCAATGAACAAAGTCTGCATAAAAAAACAGTGGACCAGAGGCACATGCGTCTCTGTGATCTAAAATCACTGATTTTCTCTATGGACTTTGGTCTGAGCTAAAATCACTGATTTTCTCTATGGACTTTGGTCTGAGCTAAAATCACTGATTTTCTCTATGGACTTTGGTCTGAACTAAAATCACTGATTTTCTCTATGGACTTTGGTCTGAACTAAAATCACTGATTTTCTCTATGGACTTTGGTCTGAGCTAAAATCACTGATTTTCTCTATGGACTTTGGTCTGAGCTAAAATCACTGATTTTCTCTATGGACTTTGGTCTGAGCTAAAATCACTGATTTTCTCTATGGACTTTGGTCTGAGCTAAAATCACTGATTTTCTCTATGGACTTTGGTCTGAGCTAAAATCACTGATTTTCTCTATGGACTCTGGTATTGTAGCCATTAGAATAATGTAACAGGAACCAGAGGTTTGTGCTCATCGCTAATTCACGGCTGTTATTCCAGACCTGACACTGTTTGCTCGCGTTTACAACCTGTGGAGGAGCGACTTCCTGTTGTGTCGGAGCTGGAAGTTCAGACTGTCTGTAAACACCACACGGTCATAAATGAGCTGAAGTGGAAGTCAGAATATTTCCAAAAAAACCATGTGTTGTGTTTACAGTTCGGTGAACAAACCCGTGGCCTTAACACGGATGTCCAAAACTTTCCAGACAGTTTCAACTCTCCCTCTGTTTTTTTTTTTTTGATTTCCAGGTCGTGACAAAAGGTTACTTGGTCGACCCCCGCTTTCTCCTCGAATGGAGCGGCCCAGAGGTCAAGGGCCAAGACCGCTGCCCCCCCACCTGGACAGGTCTGTGCATGTCTTTGTTTACTCGTTACCTTTTCCACTCAGGGCAGTGAAGTTTGTTTCACAATCATCAGCCACGTCGGACTCTCGGTGGAAATTGTTAGGTCATCAGTGATGTCATCAGGGTTTTCACAACAAGCCGAATGTGTCGGCTCAGGCTCCGGACAGTGATGCAAACAGGAAGAAGGAAAGTCGTCATCTTTTTTTTCCACATTCTGTCTTCAGTCTTTCTGTCAAAGAGGAAGAGCTGTGATTTAAACCTGTCACCAATCCTTCCACTGCATGTTTCAAACCCGTGGTCCGTGGGCCAGATTCAGCCCGTGAACTCCTTTTAGATGGCCCATAAGACAGTAAAGATATTTCTGTTAAAATAAGTTTTGTTTGACGACAGGATCAGCTAATGTTGTAGCTAACGTTAGCTCTGGTGTCTGTACCAGAACTGTTGTAGCTAACGTTAGCTCTGGTATTTACCAGGACTGTTGTCATTGTGATGCTAACTTTTCTTCATTTTCCTCAGGAAACGTCCTTTGTCTCCGCCCCCTAAATCCTCTGGGAAGATGGCGGCTCCACCCTCGCACTCAGCTAAACCCACTGCCCCCAGCTCAGCGCCATCAGCAGGCTCAGGCTCCGCCTCCAAACCGAGCAACACACTTTCACGGCGGGAGGAGCTTCTGAAGCAGCTGAAGGCGGTGGAGGACGCCATCGCTCGCAAACGAGCTAAGATTCCTGCAAAGTAAACAAAAAGCGGTGGCGTTGGCCTGTTTTAGCGCCTGACCAGCCGACGCAGCGAGAGGCACGTCAAGGGGGCGGAGCCTTCTCCTGTCAGTGGACGTGTAGAAAAAAAAAAAAGAACAAAAATCTTTGGTTCATTCTGCCACAGAAATAAAAAGTCAACCTTCTGCTCGTTTGTCGACTTCTTTGTGCCACGGTGTCAACCCCGCCCCTCAGATTGACCTCATCTGTGAGGGGGGACAGAAGGAAGTGTTTGTCGACGTCTCAGGAACTGAGTGACAAAATCCATGAGACCTGCCACGCTCTGTTCTCACTCTGATCTGATTCAATTTTCTTCTCCAAGCCCCGCCCATCGTCCTCTCAGCCAATAAAATGTTAGCCGTCACTTGTCACCGTGACCTCCGACTCCTCGCCTCCGTTCCTTAGACCCTGGAGCGGAGGAGCCGATCATGAACAGCAGAGAAACTTGTACAAAACTTTTGAGATTCTTTTAAAGGTCGTCTGAATTGTAGTGTTGTGGATTTTTCTTTTCTTTTTTTTTTAATAAATCTGCAGCTTTTTTTTCTCTGCTCCTGTGATGAAGCTTTTATTTGTGTCACTCTTTGAGTTTGATCTGGAACGGGACGTTTGACGACACGAAGTTTCCTCTGTGACCAAATAAACTATTTTGATAAAACAGGCCAAGTCCACTCACTTGTGGTTTTTTTTTTTTTTTTGTTCACACCCATTATTTCGGAGAATACTATGATGACATCACTGCTACTTAATCAGTACAGCTTAGTTTAGCTGGCTCATGTGCTAACCTTTAGCTATCTTCTTGGATAAACGTGTTTTTTTTAGTGTAACTCAGGTGTGATCTGAGTTTGCTAACCTTTAGCCGTTGTTTAAGGTATCTGTTAGCTGTTCTGGTTCTTGGGTAACTAGTTTTTTTTTCTTAGCTAACTTTTAGCTACCACATTATTTAATGTTACGACTACTCTTACACATCTAATGCTGTCACAGTCTTCTCTGGTTGCCGTTAACCTTTTGGCTAATGTTTACGCTTAAAGATTAACATTTCATCGTCTTTGTTGTCTTGTGAGGAATTTTAATTGACTGTAATTGTGTGTGTGCGCGTGTGTGTGTATGTGTGTGTGTGTGTGCCACCACAGAGAACAATGACATCCCATCATTACATCATCACACAGCTCCGGTCTCTAACAACATCATTCACTTTCTCTTCACTCACTTTTAAACATAAACAATCAGTGATGATGTCATCGCAGCAGCGGAGGAATTTCAGTAGGAACAGAAAATAAATAAATGTATTACAAGGGAGGAAAAGGAAACAATTTGTTTTTCATTTCATAAAATCAAAACAAAGATTTTTATTTCACAGAAGTTTGTTTACATTAATAAAATCTCATGTTGAAAGATGACTTTCATAAAAAATGTTTGGAATGAAACTTTTTTCTATTTGTGTAAACATTTAAATTGTGTAAAAATTGAAGATTTGAAATCCACGCAAAACGTGTGACAGGTATGTGTGTGTGTGTATGTGTGTAAGTGTGCTGCATTCCACTGACAGCACGTAATTAGCACACACACACACACACACACACACACACACACACTCAGGGAGAAAGAGCATTGTTTCCTCCTCCTGCAGCAGCTTCTGGTTTTTCCCAGGTGACCTTCATAAAAGGAGGAGAGGAGCGACAGTCAGACACAGTCAGAGCAGCAACAGTCAGACACACAGTCAGAGCAGCAACAGTCACAGAGAAGAGACAACATGGACATGACACTGGTGAGTGAACACTGAGGAGGAGAGGGGTCCTGATGGAGGACCACTGAGGAGAGGATGAGGAGGAGAGCACTTAGTTTGGGCTGACAGGAGGGGGGAGGAGAAAGGGGAGTCCAGGTGGACACAGGTGAATCTCTGAGGAGAGCAGGGAAACAGGTGAAAATAGAGGGGAGAAAAAAAGTTTAGGAGTAGGAGAAGATGCAGAAGAAGAGGCTGAAGGGTGTCCCGCTGAAGGGTGTCCCGCTGAGAGCTCAGGTGAAGGAGGCTAACTTGGCTCCTCTGTGTCTCCTTCCACAGGTCTCCATCATCACGGCCGTCCTCCTCCTGAGCCTCCACGCTGCTCCAGCCTGGAGCTCAAAGCGGCAACGATGCTACAGCGAAGAAGAGCTGAGTGAAGCTGCCGAGAAGAAGCTCAGCACCTACTACCTTCAGTCCCACAACCTACCAGCAAGAGGCGCTGTAGCCTCCGACTCCACCACCTCCTTCACCTGCCCTTTGCATTTGTACCAGCAACAGCAGAATCTTAAAATCAGCATGAGATCGGTGTCTCCCTGGACATACGTGTAAGTACAAAGACGCCAGAGTTTCTGAAATTTATTGGGAATTTTTTCATTTGTGGTGAAAAACTGGTTCATCGGGTTCAAATCCTAGAGCAGAAATTCCAGGCAGGAAACTAAAGTCTGTGAACCCACACCAAAGTCCATAGAGAAAATCAGTGATTTTAGCTCAGACCAAAGTCCCGACTAACACTTTTTAAAAAATGACATATTTTTGACATTTTCTTGTTTTACAGAATCAAAACCATGGTCGACCATTACCCATCATCATATGCAGAGGCGAAGTGTCTGTGCACCGGCTGTATCCTAATGGAAGAAGGGCACCTCCCGGTGGAGAGTGATAACTATGTCAGTATACCGCTGATGCAGAGCCGTCTCTTCCTGAAGAGGGAGCTGTGCAACGGCGGATCGAAGTACCATCTCACACCCGTGACCCTGGACGTAGCCGTGGGCTGCGTTTGTCTAAAATCAAGGAGCAAAGAGGTCTAAGACGAAACACTGACACCTGCTGGGAGCTTCCCTCAGTACACCTGATTTCAACGCGATCTGAGCAACACTGACACCTGCAGGTTCATACAGTCGCTAGAGGGACACAAACCTAAATAAGAAGCAACGACCCCTCCCAAAGTCACTCAAGCGAACTACACCTGGATTTACTGACATCTGCAGGTTTTGGACAAACACTACACCTAAATGTAATCGTTATTTAATAGACATGTATTTATTTATTTATTTAGATAATTTATTCAGGTGAAATATGTTCTCAATGAAAACTTTGACTCGTACTTTAAACCCCGCCCACTTCACACACAGGCGAAACACAAACAAACAAAACAGTGATGAAAATATTTTTTAAACTAGAAAGTAATTTATATTATTAGACAATATTTTGTCTACTGAGGTTTATTATATTTTTTGGTCTTTGTATAAAAAAATTCTTTTTTATTTTCTTATATATTTATTGACTTTTTTCTAAAAAATCCCTGTAATTTATTATTTTTTTTAAATTTTCTTATCTTTATGGCGACGTTGACATTTTAATCCAGTTTGTTTGTTTGTTTTTACTCCTGTTTCAGGGCGGACTTGTAGCCAAGAGTTGAATTCAAACCTTTTTACTTTTGTTTCTAAATTGTTGTAGCAGTAACCGGAGCATTTTGGTTGTTTTTCCTATAGATTTTTTTTTTGCTGCCATAAAACCACAGCATGCACTTCTCTGTGAAGAGTTTTATAGTTTTGTACCGCTGTTCATTTTGATATATGTGTTAATGTATTTAAATATGAAGATATTTATTGTTGTACGTGATGACGATGCGGCAGCATCTTAACGGTTTAAAGGTTCATCAATGGACGTAGAAACATTTAAATATATTGTTTTATTTATGTCGTAGATGTTTTGTCCCAGTGGGACTTTGATAATGACGATGATGAAGAGTCTGACGAAGACGTCGATGTTCAGCTTCTTTGAAGCGAAACCAATAAACGCAAAGATAAAGAAAATCTGTTTGGTTTTGTTTTGAACTGTCAAAGAAAGATGTCAACACGAAGGTAGAGTTAGCAGGTTAGCTAAAATAGTTAGCGAAGAGATTACTGAAAGTCTAGTTAGAGTTAGTTAAACGAAAACTGCTACATTTGCTAAAATAGGAACATAACGTTGGCTGTGATAAAAAAATAAAAATAAATAAAATTTAACGAATTTTTTATTATTATTTCTACTCACAAGAGTACTTAATAAAAATAAATTATTTGACTTTGCTGTGAATTTCTCTCATCCATAAAGTAACTGTGACGTGCTGTGAATATCTCTCATCCATAAAGTAACTGTGACGTCTCCCGTGGCGTCAGCCCGGCCAAGTGCTGCGTGATGACGTATATTTCCTGCGCCGTGTTATCACGTGAAGCCCAAACACTGTGGAGCTGCGACCTGATGTCGTTTGTTTCTCCTGTTTCTTGTGGGTTTTTATAAAAGAACTCGTTCGTATTCCATTCATTGCGGCTCCGTGACATTTGCTGTTTGTGTGATGGAGACATGACTTCCGCTGTCGTCACAGCTCTGAAAACTCTGACCAGACCAGTGAGCGGTGAGTGGACGGTTGGACAGTGAGAGTCCTTCTCTACAGACAGTATTTCAGGATTCTCTGACCTGACATTCCAACTTCCTGACACAGTTACCGTCACTGGTGTAAATTACATTAAACACAGTTAAATATACTTTATCGCTTGTATGTTTGACTCGATTTTGCCAAATCTTGAAATGTGACAAAACAATACGTTGGAAACATAAACCGGCTACATAGTGTAACAGTAACTCTACAGTAACAGTAATTAGGATAAGTTAATAGATCATAATATGTCTACTGCTCTCTCTAGTGGTCAGTTAGTGTTACTGTAATCACTAAATAATGACCCCCCTCTGCACCAGGAGCTCCTGTGTCTGTCAGCTAAAATCACTGATTTTCTCTGTGGACTTTGGTGTGGGAGTGTGAGTCTGTTTAACTGTTTGATCATCTCCACAGAGGTGTCAGTTTGTGACTCTGCATCTCCACAAGATGCTCTCCTGGTGGCGCTGCGCTCCAACAGAGCTGCTCTCCTGCAGCAGCTGCAGAGCGACCCCGGCCTTGAGGAGGTGCGAAAGTGGAGAGAGGAAATAATGGAAGGAGCAGCGTGGTTTCTGAGTCCAACAACAAAAGAAGGAGGAGAAGAAGAAGAAGACACCACCTGGTGTTTTGTCCAGGAGTGTCTCCTGCTGCTGCTGGTCCTGGCTCGACATCTCACCGCTGAACTGGAGCGCTTTGAACAAACGCCTGCTGTTAGCAACAACGGCAGAGCGGCGGCTGCTCCTCCTTTACCTCCTGATGTTCTGAGTGTGGCGCAGCAGAGGACGCTGGGAGCTGCGCTGCAGTTTGTTGTCTCTCTGGGACTTTGTCCCTACCTGTCTCCTGGTGTGGGCGTGTCTCTCCGGAGCAGGTCGGCCTTCGGAGCCATGGTTGAGAAACTGATCCGTGGTGGATCAGCGTCACGGGCGGCGGAGCAGCGTCTCCACACCACCACCAGCGTCCTGCTGCAGGTGTCGCAGCTGTCGTCACTGGCCACCACCATTTTTACACAGCATCTGGGCGACCTGATGGCGGCGCTGTGTCAGCTTGGATACCGACCGCGGGGACGGAACCCAGAGCAGCAGCAACGGCAGGAACAAAAGGTAACAACAACAACAGCACAGACAGGCATCAGTGTTCAGTATCTGTAGCAGCACACAAAAACAGAAAAAGTTTCTTCTCCATTCACCTCCTGTGCAGGATCTGAGTCCAGAGGACAGGAAATCCTGTCAGGACGCCCTCAGAAACCTGCTGGGACGAGTCCATCAACCAATCGTCATCAAGGAGCTGCTGATCCTGCAGGGCGGAGCCAGACAGGTGTGAACAGGTCCACTGGTACTGACTGGTTCAGGTACTGACCAGTGATCAGTCCAGACTCCCACACCAAGCCTCAAAGAAAAAACCAGTGATTTTAGCTCACAGAGATTCTGCACGTGTTGATCTGTCTCTATGTTCTGGTGTGATTCCACTGTGACACAAACTGACCACAGGGGGCAGCAGTAGACCTGTGGCTCACTGATTCTTCTCAATCGCAAATACCACCATAAGCAGTCATTTTAGCTCATGTGAAGTTCAGTACCAGTAAATCGGTTCCTGCTGCTCAGTGACATCACTGCTAAAACAGGTCTCTTCCTCTCAGAGTTCTGGCAGCAACGGATCGGCTGCTCTGGGATCGGCTGCTCTAGGATCAGCTGCTCTGGGATCAGCTCCTGCGTGGCTCAGACGTCTGTGCGGTCGACTGCTCTCTGAGAGACTGGTGCAGCCCAGTGGTGTCCAAGCTGTGGTCCGGGCCATTCTAGAAGGAGGGACGGGTCAGTACTCTGTCCGAGCTGTAACAGTCAGTCTGGTTCTGAGGGAATCACGGTTCAGTCTAGTTGTTCCCTCCTTCATGTTCTCACTCTACAGAGTTCTTTAAATATATTTTTCTGTGCTCAGATTTATCTGTAGTTCCTGTTCTGTCCTGCAGGTGGCGACTCAGACTGGAGGAAGTGTGACAGTGTGGCTAGAATCCTGGTGACCTGTCCTCAACAGTCTGCTTCAGCAGAGGAATACTACAGACACGTGTGTCCTCAGGTACACACACACAAACACACACACACACACACAATCATCTTAACATGTATTTAACCTTCTGCTCCAGTGGAGACCTGACCAGGTCACATGACCAGGTCACATGACCTCTGGTGTCGGAGACTCACTTCTGGTTCTTCTCACCTCAGATCCTGGACCTGCTGCATTTCAAAGACAAGCTCACAGCACAGCAGTTTCAACGTGTGGCCACCAGGGCGGTGCTGTTCATGGTGGAAGAGAAGAGCACCTTTGCCCAGCAGCACCTGCTCGCTCCTCTGTTAGAACCTCTCCACCGCTGCAGAACCATGATCGGTCAGTAGAACCCTGATGTTCTGAGGTTCCACTGCAGAACCCACACTGACGTTCTCACCTTCTGATCACGCAGTCCTTTCTTCTTCCAGATGGAGGTGCTGCTGTGGAGGAGTGGGAGCTGACCCGCTGCGTGGAGGACGTGTTCAAGGTGAGGACACGGTACCAGGGGACGGTACCAGGGGAGTCTAAGAAATATAAAACCGGTTTTTCTCTGTTTCTTCCTAATCTCAGAAGGCTAAGAAATATAAAACCGGTTTTTCTCTCCTCTGGTTTCTTTTGGTTCTTGTCTCCGTCAGATCTGGGTGGTTGGGGACGGTTCTTCGGCTGCTCTGCTCTCGGCTCTGGAGGACGTCCTGCCAGTCGTCTTCACGCTCTTCTGTTTCAGCAGACAGAACGTGTCTCACCTACGGTGAACTTCTCCGCTGGTCCTCAGAACCCGCCCACGAAGAGTCTTTTTCTTTATCCTGGCTCTGTGTGTTTGTGCTCCACAGCGCCCCCTGTCAGGACACTCTGCTGTGGTACCTGAGCCACTGTGATGAGGCTGCAGCTCTGTCAGCTCTGAGGCAGCTCTCGGGTCTGGGGGGTCCGAGGTCGGAGGCCGACGCCCACTTCCACTTCACCCCCGGCAGCGACGGAGGAGCCAGGTTCAGCACCAGGGACAGAGTCAGGTGACGACGCCCTGATCCTGACCCTCACCTATCTGTCCTCCACCCTAACCCTAACCCGTTTTTCCCCCAAACTTTTAGTGCAAAAATCATTTGGCGAAACCCAGGAATTGCGTTATCGGGTTTTTACTATCGGAGGAAAAACCGATAACGGTTCTTACAGATGTTACATAATTATGCTAACATTGTCTGACCGATAATATCGGACATTCCTATTTTTTTATTATTATTTTATTTTATTATTTATGAGTGATATGAACTTTTTTTATTACTGTTGTTTATTGGTCTGATCACAGTGAAGTTTCCTTTCACTCTGACACTGTTTATATTTTGATACTGGATTAAAACCCTTCCATCTGACCTTGGTGTCTCTCTCCCTCCCTCCCTCCCACCCCCCCTTCCTCCCCAGTGAGGACGATGCTCTCTATCAGGACATCTCTGAGGAGCAGTGGAGGTTGGAGTGTCTGATGGCTCTCCTGTCTGAGCTCAAAGACTCTGACCTTCCTGGAGATTTCTTCCTGCTCCTGCTGCAGGTAGGTGGCGATGTTGTGTTTTTAGTCTCCGTGCCTGAACTTGGACACAGGTCTGACGGACTTGACCTCACTCTACGTCCTCAGGAGCTGACCAGCTGGACGACGGCAGACGGTGAGGACACAGAGGAGGAGCAGGAGCTGGACCTGTCCTCCATGACGCTCCTGCAGGTGGAGCAGCAGGTGCTGGGCCCGGTCCAGAGGAAGGGCCAGAAGGTGGCGCTGCTGCAGGTTCTGGCAGTAATGGTGGAGTCTGTGCAGCACAGTGTGCTTCTGAGGAAGGCGACACAGGTGAGTCCATGTCCGCTGTCGGCGTGGAGACGGAGACTGTAGACGTTAAGACAACTCTGAGAGTCAAATGATCTAAAATAAGAAAGTGAGTCATCAGTGATGTAGCTCTGCACCACAACTACAACGTCCTGAAAGAAAACTAGGTCGTTCCTGTGTGGGGACGACGTTCTCTGTGTCCTTTGAATATGATGAGATCTCCCACCAGACGCACGTGGGGGGGGGGGTTCAAACTGCACTGGTTTTTCTCCATACAGTTTCAGCAGATATCTACAGATCAACACTGAACATCTTTGGTACATGAGAACCTAAACCTGTCTGTTTGTTCTTGCGCCCCCAGGTGGTGGACTTTATTGTGTCCCTGTTCCAGAGAGCGTGTGTGTCTCTGGACCAGGACTCTGACCTGGAGAACCCAGTTGAGAGCCAGACCCTGAGTATGGGGATCGGACTGGTGGCCACCTTGCTGTCTGGACCTCAGGTGTCAACATCTTTGACCTCTTTGACCTCTTTGACCCGAGACCAGCCAGATCCTGAAACATGGACTAAGTTCTGACCCTGGTGTTTCTGTCCCACCTCAGCTCAGCCCAGAGGAGTTCTCCTCCATGTCCAGACTCCTCCCCCCACTGGAGACCCTGTCCCAGAACCATCCTGATGATGTCATCCAGGAGCTGGCGTCCAACCTCAGAGCCGTCATTGCGACGCGTGGAGCCTTCAGGCCTGAGAACATCACTGGTCCTGCTTCTACTGAACTCTGCGGGAACAGAACCGACAGAGTGAAGAAGCAGAAGGTAGAACCTGAGACCAGAACATGTCCTGCAGACCCTCTCAGCAGAAGGACCAGGACCAGACAAGAAGAACCAGGACCAGGACCAGGACCTGGACCAGGACCAGCTGCCACCAGGACACCAGCTAACACCAGCACGCCACCTCCCTCCAACAAGCCCTTTTCTGATTGGCTGTTGGAGGCGTGTGACCCAGACGTACCAACCAGAGCCCTGGCCCTGAGGGTTCTGACCAAGATGGTCCAAAAGAAGAACCCCGATACCATCAAGGACCAGGAAAAAGTTCTGATGGTGAGTCGTCTGAGTCGTCGACGCTGCTGAAATATTCATTAGACTAAGACTGTGCCAGATTTAGCCTGAAGAAGCTAAAAACACAGCTGAAAAATGTGTGTGTGGGGGTGGGTGTGTTTGTGCGTGTGTGTGTGTGTGTGTGTCTCACACATTCTTCATGGATGGGGGGGGTTTACCTCAAGGACCCACGTCTCCTCCAGGGACTTGTTAGTGTGGAATATTAGATGAGGGGACGACAGCTCATCCAGTATTCCCTCTCATCACTGTGTGTGTGTCTGTGTGTGTGTGTGTGTGCGCCCCCCCCCCCATACACACAGTGCAGTAAAGTTCCCTGTGCCTGTGGTTCCATTGGTTCCTGGTTTCTCTTGAACAGATTTGACACTGTAGCATCGGTACCGTCACAGGAACGTTCGGTTCCAGGAACTGTTCTTTTACCAACCATCAGCAGTAAAAACTGGACTGGTTTAGTTTTGTAGAACACCTCCACAGTCTGCCCCCCCCCCCCTCCCCCCCCCCTCAGCTGGGCTGGGCTCTGGTGGAATATTCCTTTTGAACATTGTTCTGATGTTCTGATTGGCCAATCACTGAGCTTGACGTTCTCTGTCTTTGTCTCCTGCAGGTCTTCTTGGAGAACCTGCAGCACCAGGACTCCTTCGTCTACCTGTCAGCCATTCAAGGTACCGTCACTGTGTCGGGGTCAAAGGTCAGAGTAGAATCAGATCAGATTAAACCTGCCGCTCTAATTGTGATCCGCTCACCTGCGTGTCCAGGTCTGGTCTCGTTGGCCGACGTCTTCCCGGAGAAGATTCTGGATCAGCTCCTGAGGGACTTCAAACACGGACCCTCCCACCCCTCGTCCAACCAGGAGCACTCGCTGGAGACGCGCCTTAAAGTGGGCGAGGTCCTGATGAGGGCGAGCAGGGCAATGGGTGAGGAACATGTTCTAGATCAGGCGTGGACACGCGTCTGCTAAAAGCATTCATGAAACGTAAATTAATAACATAATCTGGACCAAAAAAAATATCCATGTGGGCCACATCCGGGCCCTGGGCCATAGTTTGCCCTTGCCTGAAGAGAACCTCGGGGTCGGCCTGGTGCCAGGACCAATGAGTTGCGGTTCTTCTGGGTCCGACCTGTGTCGTCCTGTGAGCTGCAGACACTGTGACAGTGTGAGAGGAGAAACTCCCATCCTCAGAGTGACCTTGAACACAACGCCTGCAGCCACGGCCACAGCACAGAGCCTGTGTTCTAGAACCTGAAAGAGTCTTGTTCTTGTTGAATGGTCCGGCCTGCTGGACTAAATGACTTCAGCTGTTTGGTCTGACTGGACACTGAGAGACTCACAGAGGAAGAAGAGACGCAACACAGGGAGTTTGTTCACAGGAGCGGGACGAGGACCAACAGTTGAACTCCGAGTTTGTTACGATTTTTACCGGATGTTGACGTCGGTCGGCTCAGACCAAAGTCCAGAGATGAGAAAAGTCTGACCGACAGTTAGATGTACACACCTGGATTGTGTCTCCAGCTCACTGAGATATCATTTCCAGGCAACTGCAGGTTTTGGACACAAGGAGGCGCTACATCTACAGCACTGGGGTGGAAATAATTATCCTTCAACAAACTCTCTTTCTGTGTGTCTTTTGTTTCTGGGATTTCCAAATAAATCCAGCTGTAATTTCCACAACTGCACACACACACACACACTCTGTCTCTCACACACACACACTCTGTCTCACACACACACACTCTGACACACACACTCTGAGCTCCTACTACAGTCAGCTGGTTGTCTCCTGGTCTCAGTGTTTTGTGTCGTCTGATGTAACAGAGTCTGACACTGAAAACTGAACTGAATATTAAAACTGTGTGTGTGTGTGTGTGTGTGTGTGTGTGTGTGTGTGTGTGTACTGCTCTCATGTCCCCTCTGTCATTGACGTCCTCAGTCAGTCAACCTGGTCATTAAATCCTGACCGACAGCTGACCAGTCTGTCCGTCCTTCAGGTGACCTGGCGTCTTACCTCGGCCGTCCTCTGGTGCGTGTCTTCCTGCAGGGGACCAGGGACGTGGACCCCGGTGTCCGGGCCAGCAGTCTGTCCAACCTGGGTGAGCTGTGTCAGAGACTGGACTATTCTCTGGGTCCACTGGTTCAGGAGGTGAGTGAGGACCAGAGTCCAGAGGTGTCCAACTGGTCCTGGTCCTACAGTCCACGGTAACCTACCTGTGTGTGTGTGTGTGTGTGTGTGTGTGTGTGTGTTCAGGTCAGTGTGTGTCTGGTCTCCCTGATAAAGACAGAGAAGGAGTCAGAGGTGAGGAGAGCTGCCGTTCATGTCATCACTCTGCTGCTGAGAGGACTGAGCCACAGAACCACAGAGGTACACACACACACACACACACACTCACACACACACACACACTCACTCGAGTCCTGGTCCCGGTCCAGTGGCTGTGAGCTGGTGTCAGAGAATGTTTTGACTCGGGAGCGGGAAACGATTGTCCTAAAATTGAACGTCGGGGGGGGCGGGGTCAGGAGCGTTCATGTGAACTGAGATAAATGACATGTAGAAGTCATGTATAAAGGATAAAATACTTTTATTTTCTACGCCATCTATTGGGGGAATGTGGATATTGCAGGGAAAAGGCAGAAGTTTAATAATAATACAGATCTCCTATCGAGGTAGTTGCGTTCAGAGACCCACTGTGAAAAAGGGAAAACCCGCAAAGTATAAAGAGCGAACTGTATAAATAAATGATATAAACTGGAAACGTTTGGTGGGCCGGATTAGAAAGCTGAACGGGCCGCATCCGGGCCCCGAACCTTAGTTTGCCCATTCCTGGCTCAGTCCAACAGTCTTCACTCTCTCACATGGACATGACCTCTGCTACAAGGTCGGTCCAGGACTCAGGTCCAGGTCCTCGTCCTCGTCCAGGACCCAGGTCCAGGTCCAGGTCCAGGTCCTGTCATTAGTAAACAGCTGTTGTCCCCTGACTCTAACAGAACACTGTCCTCTCTGTCTCCGTTCAGGTTCTCTCAGATGTTCTTCTGGACCTGTACCGGGCCCTGAAGTGGACCCTGGCCTGCGACCCGGACCAGGTGGCGGTTCTTCACGCCCAGCTGGCTCTGGAGGAGCTGGATGATGTCATGAGGAGCTTCATCTTCCCACAACAGAAGCTGGAGAAGAAGATCGTGGTCCTGCCTTGACTCTGGTCCACAGCCACGGTTTGGACTTTTAGAACCACAGTCGGTTTTAAAGAACAGGAACCGTTTGGTACTGAGTGTGGATGAAACTCAAATGATCTCTGTTTTTATTATGACTCTGTGAGTACATTAAAATGACCAGTCTTTGGAATTTAGTGCCCTCCGGTGGTGAACTCGCACAAATGTACGGCGCCCTCAACGTCAACATTCCACTTCCTGTCTGTCTTCCTGTCTGTCTATTATTCCACTTCCTGTCTTCCTGTCTGTCTTCCTGTCTGTCTTCCTGTCTGTCTATACCTTTTTACTATTCAACAGTGAAGTTATTTCTATCTGCTAAAGAGAACAACCAGGAGGAGGCGCTCTCAGTCACAGCAGCATCAGTGGAGGAGATGTGTGTGTGTGTGTGTGTGTGGCCTGCATGATCTCAGCAGCCGCTGGTCCACTGCTGCCTCGTGTGGTCAGTGTTCCAATTAGGGGGAGAGAGCGCCACCTTTTACATGTTTTATTAAGCGCGCCTCTTGTCAGGCCATGTTGACTGAAAAAGGTCAGAGGTCATTGAGATTGAATTTATGGACTTTCCAAACCAAAGTCCATAGACAAAACGTGTCATTTTAACTCACAGACACAGCTGCTGGTCATCTGCTGCCCCCTGTGGTCAGTTTATGTCACTGAGGTAAATCTGAACAAAAGAATGTTGAAAACACATTTAAAAATAACACATTTAAAAATAACACATTTGTGACGGTGGATCAGCAGCTGCCGTGTGTTCTATGAGCTCTGGTGTTGGAGAGCCAGCGTTTTAGTAACTTGAGTTTCCACTTGTTAAAGTCTGACTCTGACAAATGAAGAGAATCTTCAGAAACTGTGGACCTGCAGCTGACGGACGGTTGAAGAGAATGAAAAGTCTTTCATTAACTATTGATTCCCGGTGATCGTTCTGTGGAGCAGGAGCGTCAGCAGCTGAACCACAGAGCAGGAGAGAGAGAGAGGGAGGAGAGGAGAGGAGGGAGGGAAGGTAAATAAGGCCATAAAGGATGCTTTGAGGCAGGCGAGGGGAGGGGGAGGAGGAGGAGGAGGAGTGGTGAAAAGGGGGAGCTGCGCTCCAACAGTCTCCAGGCTTGTTCAAGAAACTGCCGGCTGCATTGCAGTGAGACAGGGAGGTGAAGTGAGGAAGAAGAGAAGAGGTGAGGAGGAGACGCTCAGTGTGACAGATTTACAGGGAGCGCCGTACTGCAGGAGGCAGCAGGAGCGGAGCGGAGCAGCAGGGGAACCTGAGGAGGCGTCGCTGCAGAGGGGACAAAGGAGGAGAAGTGGCATCACTGAATGACCTCCTCCTCCTCCTCCAGTCCTTTTATCAGCGGCATGTTGAGGTGGAGTGGGAGGAGACTAGACCACATGCTGCTCCTGCTGCTCCTGCTGCTCCTCCTCTCTGCCGGGAATCTGCAGATGTGAAGCTGGTGCGGAGCACAGGTGGAGGCAGAGGAGGATTCATGCCCTGGGACAGTCCTGGAGGACTGAGGGTGGGGACAGAGGACCAGGAGGAGGAGGAGCAGGGAGGGGTGGAGGCTGGTCCGTAGGAGGAGGAGCAGGACGAGGCGCTCTCAGCCTCATTTCTGGAAATGTGGTTCTCCTGAGCTGAGCCAGAGGAGCGGGAATAAAGATGTGAGTGTGAGACGGAGGGAGGAACAAGGAGAAGGCTGTGCTGAGCAGGACCAGGACCAGGACCAGGACGGGCCAGAGGAGGAGGAGCAGGGAGGAGGGGGGAGGAGCAGAGGGCTGACTGAGAGCTGGAAGAAGGACACGGAGGGTCCACTGGGTCACGAAGGTAAATGTTTTTATTATCGTGTTCTACAGTCAGACGTTTGGACCAGGACCAGGTTCGATCTTAGTCTTTAAGGAACCATAACCCTGACAGGTCCAACCTCTGTCCTGGTCCAACCTCTGTCCTGGTCCAACCTCTGTCCTGGTCTTGGTTTATGTCTGGTGTCAACCTGGGGGGGGGTTTGTGGACCTGGTTCTGAACCCTGTTCCACTAAGACCTGCTCTGATTCTACTGGTGTTTGTCACAACTGGTCTCTCCTCGATTCATCCATTTGTGAAAGCCCCCCCGCCTTCCTCCCTCCCTCCACCCCTCCCTCCCTCCTCCTCTCCCTCCTCCCCTCCCCCTACGTCACCCTTCAGCTCCTTCTCTCTGAACTCTCCCACGTTCTTTTCCCACTGGAACAGTGACACCTGGAACCTGATGAAGGACTTGATGTTCCTGCTCCTGTACCAGGACCAGGATGTGGATCTGGAGGTAGACCTGGACCACAGCTGGTCCTGGAGCAGCTGTGACTTTTCAGCCACGGTGTCATTTGTTCTAAGGGACCGACCTTTAATTATCAGGATGATTGTTGTGCGACGACCCCTGAGAACCAGAGGGTCCTCGGACCTTCAGTCCTCAGACTGTCACCTGGTAATCACAGGCTCCTGCTAATCAGCTGTTACACCCCCCCCCCCCCGGTGCCCAGACCCTGGTCCAGGCAGCAGCTCAGCTCAGCTCAGGTCAGGAGCTGGTTTTTCTGAATGAATGGAGACAGTTGTTTCCTCTGCTCCGCTGCTGCTGAGCTGCAGCCAAAAACCACAGAATCACCTTTATTTAAATCCATTGGAGTCTGGAGGAAGAGGGGGGAGGGTCCAGGGGCTGATGGGAGGAGAGGAGGACAGACGTCCAGGTTTCTTCTTTTAACACATTGGTGTTTCATGACACGATCCACAGAGAAGGTGTTTACAGATGTTCTGCTTCTCCTTCTCCTCCAGATGCCCTCCCGCTGCAGGAATGTGTTGAACATTGTGGTGACCACCCTCTTTGCAGCGGTGGTTCTCTTCACCATCCTTTTGGCTTACGTCACAGGTGAATCCCTGACTCCACACACACACACACACACACACACACACGTCCAGGTGACCAACTGTGGATCAGAGCTCTCCGTCCATGAACTTCGTTGCTTCCTCTTTATTGACTTCCTGTCTGTGGTTCGAGGTCAAGTCCTCCTCTTGGTTCTCATCCTTCCTTTTTTTTTTTTTTTCTCAGGTTATCAGTTCATCCACACGGAGCAGCACCACCTGTCCTTCGGACTCTACGGCGCCTTCCTGTCCCTCCACCTCTTCCTCCAGAGTCTCTTTGCGTTCCTGGAGCACCGGCGGATGCGGAGCCCGGCTCGGCCGCAGCACCTGCGCCGCTCCGTCGCTCTCTGCATCGCCGCCTACCAGGAGGACCCCGACTACCTGAGGAAGTGCCTGCGCAGTATCCGTCGCATCTCCTTCCCCGGCCTGAAGGTGGTGCTGGTGGTGGATGGGAACCGGGCCGAGGACCGCTACATGATGGACATTTTCCAGGAGGTGATGGGCGGAGCCGACCAGGCCAGGAGTCTGGTGTGGAAGGGAAACTACCACAGCGACGGGTGTGGGGGGGGTGGAGTCCGCGGCGGTGGCAGGAGCACGGTGCACATGGAGGAGGCGGCACGAGTGTCCCGTCTGGTCAGGAGCTGTCGGTACTCCTGCGTCATGCAGGAGTGGGGCGGGAAAAGAGAAGTGATGTACACCGCCTTCAAGGCCCTGGGAGACAGTGTGGACTACGTCCAGGTGAGAAGACCGCGGTCCACTGGACCAGTGGGGTCATCAACACGCCACACTGACAGAAGGTCACACGGTTCCTCATGACCAGCTGGTGCTCGACCTCCACGGCTCTTTATGTGAAGGTCAAAGGTCATGTAAACCGAGCTGACCTCAGGGTCGTGACACAGTCTGTGTGTGTGTGTGTGTGTGTGTGTGTGTGTTCCAGGTGTGTGACTCAGACACAGTCCTGGATCCAGCCTGTACTATAGAGATGCTGAAGATCCTGGAGGAGGACACCACGGTGGGGGGAGTCGGGGGAGACGTTCAGGTGACGTCCAGTCAAAGTCAACTGTTATTAAACACTGGTTAACTAGATCACCAACACTGAACTTTGAACTAGACTCAAAGGATTTTTACTAGACTGACATCTGATATTGACATTTTGCCGATATTGTCCAAACACCTAACATCTGATTTCGATATCAACCGATTTTGATATAGGCCTGGAAATATTTATTTATTTATCTGTTCAAACCACGAGTTCCTGGCACCAGCATTCTACATACAATCCCCTGATTATTAAAATAGATTAATAAAATGAGCTGCAATGCTGCCATCTAGTGCATTACAACATGCATGTACAGTCGTTTTTCCACTATTTTTAACTATTTATAACTATTTTTTTTTCACACATCATTTGGCGAAACCCAGGCATTACATTTTGGGGTTTTCATTACTTAATATTTGCTAATATCAGTTGGCCGACGTTATCGGACCTTGCTAATATCAGTTGGCCGATATTATCGGCTAGTCTTTACAGGTCAAAGGAAGATCCTGGTTCTGGAGAACAGATCTGACATGAACGTTTGATATTTTTTGTTTTCGCAGATCCTCAACAAATACGACTCGTGGATCTCCTTCCTCAGCAGCGTTCGTTACTGGATGGCCTTCAACGTGGAGCGAGCCTGCCAGTCCTACTTCGGCTGTGTGCAGTGCATCAGCGGTCCACTAGGGATGTACCGCAACTCCCTGCTCCAGCGCTTCCTGGAGCCCTGGTACCACCAGACCTTCCTCGGCTCTAAGTGCAGCTTCGGGGACGACCGTCACCTCACCAACCGCGTCCTCAGCTACGGCTTCAAGACCAAGTTCACGGCGCGCTCCCAGTGCCAGACCGAGACGCCGACGCAGTACCTGCGCTGGCTGAACCAGCAGACCCGTTGGAGCAAGTCGTACTTCCGCGAGTGGCTCTACAACGCCCTCTGGTTCCACAAGCACAGCCTGTGGATGACCTACGAGTCGGTGGTCACCGGGTTCTTCCCGTTTTTTCTGGTGGCCACCGTCATCCATCTGTTCTACCGCGGCCGGCTGTGGAACATCCTGCTCTTCCTGTTGACGGTGCAGCTGGTGGGGATGGTGAAGGCCACCTACGCCTGCTTCCTGCGCGGCAGCCTGGTCATGATCTTCATGTCGCTCTACTCTCTGGTCTACATGTCCAGCCTACTTCCTGCCAAAATCTTTGCCCTGCTGACCATCAACAAGGCCGGCTGGGGGACGTCCGGTCGGAGGAAGATCGTGGTCAACCTGATCGGTGCCGTGCCGGTCACCGTGTGGGCGCTGGTGCTGTTGGGGGGCGTGGCCTACACTGTGTACTGTGAAACCCAGGAACCGTTCAGTGAGACGGAGAAGGCGCTGCTGATCGCAGGAACGACGCTGTACGCCTGCTACTGGCTGGTTCTCCTGGTTCTTTACCTCGCCATCGTGGCCAAACGCTGCAACAAGAGGGAGGAACAGTTCCACCTGCCCTACGCCGAGGCGTAGACCTCTGGGTAGGTCCTGGTGAACTCCTGTCCAGAACTGGATCAACAAACTGGGGACCCGGAACTGTTAGGTCCTCGTGGCCGGTGCTAAAGAAAGTGTGGACCAGAGACTCGGGACTCGGGACTCGGAGACGACAGTAGAGGTGCAGCTCTTCACTCATATCATTTTTCAACGGTGCTTCATATTTGGAATCCAAATCACAAAGACTGGAACCAAGTTTTAAAACAGTTCCGACGTCTGGAACGGTGACATGCCAAGAAGAACATGAGGTACTAATACTGATGCTCTGTTTCACTGCTGGAACTCATATCAGTAACAGTCACTTGAAGGCACCATGTATGTGCAGAAATTAGTACCAGGAACTAGTGTGTGTTCTACAACAGGGACCAAGAACTGATTGAAACTAGAGAATGTGACTTTCCACCACAGGAACAACGCTGTGACTTTTTGCATGACATTTAGTTCCAACACTGGAACTTTTTTTTATTATTTTTACTTTCACTCCAGGAACTATAACTAAAAAAAAATGGTTCCTGGTACTAATTGTTCCCAGTACTGAGAACACAGCGTCAGTCGTGTGGTGACTTCTGTGGCGACATTTTCTCTGCAATAAGGAACCGATGATGATGAGATTATTTTCATAGATGTTCAAGAGTCGGTGCTTCGTTAAACTTCAGACAACAACATCCTCTAGAACTATTTTTCCACTTCCTGTTTCTGAACTGAAATCACATCATCAATGAAAAATGTAAACAAACCATTGAATTGGTTCACTGTGCCCCCCCCCCGCCCTCCCCCACCTCAAACATTTGTTTTCTTTTGTTTATTAAAAAACTACTTCTGAATCTGAGCCTGTGCTAATGCTAACGCTTAGCTAACCCAAACCCCCGCTCAACTGGGTTTAACTGTGAAGAAACGACAAAGTTGAAGAACAATATATTTCCCATAATGCCTCGGGAGACTCACTTTTCAACCGACGATAGCAACAAGTTCTAGCCAATCAGAGGCAGTGGGCGGGTCATTGTTCAAACAGACAAATTAGACATTTCTGTTTATAAACACGACAAACAGGTGAACAAACCCGACGGTGTCGCTTAGTTTTAGCTTTAAAAAAACGCAGCTTTTGCTTCAGTGAAGAGTTAAAGTCAACGATGAAGAATTTTGTAAAAGTGAAAAAAAAAACTGAATCAGAGTAAAATGAATCTTTTTTTTTTTTTCTTTCATTTACTTGAAACCTGTTGAAGCTCAGCTGCAGTGGGGGGCAGCAGTGGGGCAGCAGTGGGGCAGCAGTGGGTAGATTTTCTAACATGTTGATTCTGGTCTTCAGTGTGAGTCGGTGGAGCAGTGGGCGGGTGTGGAAGCTGGTCTTCTGCATGCTGATTGGACGGAGAACTGTATTACTGACAGTGGGTCATTTTCTGGTTGTGTCCTCTGTGGAGCTGCTGAGACAAACGTCTTTGGTTGTGTCGCTGTTCGCTCACTGATGATGTAGACACTGCACCGCTCTGATTGGCTCACACAGATAATAAAAAAAACTGTATCTTAAAGGAACAGAGAACCGATTTCATATGGGTCTAAAATCAGCGTCACCTGTGTCACAGACTTAAGACGATTCTGTCGGTCCTAATCTGCCCCTAGAGGTCAGCTCAGTAATAGCAGTTGAGGCTGTGTTTCTCCTCTATCAAACCCATCAGCTCAGCAGTGACGCCACAACTTCCTGTGGTTTGACCTCCCACTTCCTGGATGTGACCTCATTCACGGGCCTGCTTGTCCTCCATGAGGAGCACGAGCCTCAGCTTTTTCATTGTGTTTGGTTCGTGGTTTGGTGAAGCAGCTACAAACTCTCTGACAATCTGAACTTCCTGTAGGTGGCACCACTTGGTCACCAGCTCCTCTCCTCTCCTCCTCCTCTTCCTCCTCCTCTTCCTGGTCCGTGCCATGTTCCTGGTGCTGATGACGAGTCATGTGACTGTGTTTGTGTTGGGCAGCTGTGACGTCAGCAGAGGCTGAAAAAATGTTTCATTTTTAAACGGTGACGTTGCCAAACATGGTTTTGTTTTTCTGCTCTTTGACTTTTTTACTCAGAACTGTTTATTTCACCAAAAACAGTAAAAACTGGAACTGAAGTGGATTCTGTGACGTTTGTCCTTCAACTTGACTTTTACTTCAGTCACATTCCCATTGGGTCTCGTTAGCATCAGGCCAACCAGCATGAGGCTAGTCCGTTAGCCTCACTGCTAATGCCACTGCTGTTTCAAACTGTTTTATTATTGCATAAATGAGTCTAAAGTTCATAATTATTGAAAAGTTTAAAAATTAATTTACTCAAAATGGTCTCCTGTGTAAGACGTTTGTCCTTCAACTTGACTTTTCAGTTAGTCACATTCCCATTGGGTCTCGTTAGCATCAGGCCAACCAGCATGAGGCTAGTCCGTTAGCCTCACTGCTAATGCCACTGCTGTTTCAAACTGTTTTATTATTGCATAAATGAGTCTAAAGTTCATAATTATTGAAAAGTTTAAAAATTAATTTACTCCAAATGGTCTCCTGTGTAAAGTAAGTCAAGTGAGGCGCTAACTGTTAGCATCTTATTCATGAAGTCAAGTCATTTACAGCAAAATCTGAGTAAAAACATTAAAGTGGCGTCTCCTGGGGGTCGAGCAGGGACAACCATATGTGACCTCACTTCCTGTGATATTTCTGCTCCCAGATTTAGGAATTTTAATCGGCCATTAAAATGCATTCTGACACAATCCTCTCATTCACTGGTCCATCGGTGAATGTCGTTGAGTTTTTAAAAATAAATGACTTTTTCCACATTAAACTTCCACTTCCTCATCATGGATGTAATTCTGGTAATTCAAATACATTTACACAGAAATACTTTCAAGAACTTAGCATTGCAGTGGACAATGGAAGAAAGACAGATCTACAGTCATTTGACCTCGGGAACAGCAATTGTCTTCATATTTGTTCATGTCGTTACAGAAGAGTTAATTAAATAAACAACTCACTCTGCTGCACCAAAGTCCATAGAGGAAATCAGGGATTTTGATTCTCTCTATGGACTTTGGTCTGAGCTAAAATCACTGATTTTTTCGCTGAGGTTTGGTGTGGCAGTATCTGCAGTTTAAAGTTGTGAAGCAACGTTTCAAACACCACAGATTTAAATTGATGTTGGTTTTATTAGACGAGTGTTTGACTAAGTGGTTCAAATTATTTATAAATAAGTGAAAGTAGACAGATTTATTTATTTGTCAGCTGCGATGTCGGCCTTTACGATGCCGTTGATGTGTGTGAACGTGTTTGATGTGTGAGAGGAACTGTGAAAAGCTTCATTATGTCACTGCCGTCAGTGGAGCTCAGTCCACAGCAGTGGAAACAGACGAGTGGCTGTTTGATGATGACTGGAGTTTTCACTCTAACGACGTGCTTCTAGGTACGACTCTGAAAACACGTGCACTCAAAGAGAGAGAGAGAGTGTGTGTGTGTGTGTGTGTGTGTGAACTCAGCATCTGAATGAATCTCTTCTTTCACTCAGACTCTGAGGTGACGGCTTTTTACTTCTGGGTGTTTTTTTCCCCTCATCGTGGGCGACGCCCGCTGACAAACACACTCTGGGAAAATTCTGGAAACACGTTTGAAGAAAAAAAAAACAGCGCAGCCACAGCATGAGGTCGTGTGTTATTTATATTTAGGACTAAACTTACCTCAGGTTGTGAAATCTTCATTAATAACTGTGAGCTTCAAGAATAACTTTAAAAAAATGTTTTAAGGTATTTTAAGTGATGTCCAATATTAACATTTTGACGATATCCAATATGCCGATAACTTCCAATTTCAATATCAACCGATTCTCATATAGCGGGGAAGTTAAGTCATTTTTAAAATGGTGACTAGTGACTATCACTTTCATATACAGCTGTTCTTCTCCAAAACTATTTTAGGTCACACATCATTTGGTGAAACCCAGGCATTGTGTTATGGAGTTTTCATTATTGGAGGAAACATCCATAATGATTCTTACAGATATTACATATTTATGCTAATATCTGTATCCGATAACATCCGAAACCCCAAGATATTTTTTAAAAAGTAAACCTTTTCCAATGTTTCTACTTTCACTTTTTGAAATTGTCAAAATTTGTGTTAAATTCTTATATGTTGAAATGTCAGGATTAGTCCTTTAAACTCTTCTGACTGGATCTGCTGTCACATCTAATGCTAACGTCAACAAAACCTGAACAAATCGGTCAAGAATCGTTTTAAAAACAACCAAAAGATCATTTAAATTTCAGAAGTTCATTTGAAGGTTTCTACTTTAAATTCATAAAATACAAAAGTAGGAAAATTGTTTAATAAACTGGTTTAAATAAAGCTGCTGGTCCACTGCTGCCTTCTGTGGTCAGTTTGTGTCACTGACATAAACATGAACAAGGGATTTCAAACAGTGAAATAATCAATAAAATATTTTTTTATTAATGACTATACAGTTAAAAAAAAAAAAGTCCTCCCCGTCTCTCCTCCTAGACTTTCTTGGGGACGTTGGTAATGATGGGTTTGGGTCGAGTCTTAAAGATCAACTTTCGTTTGATGAGCGCGGTCACGGTGTAGCACTTGGCGACGGAGCCTGGCTCCTCTGTTTCCATCGGCACCGGTCCGTCCTTATCATCTGTCGTGATGTCACAGTCGCCATGGCTACCTTCAGACTTGGAGCTCTTTGTGAGAACTGCAAAGTGCTTCTCCAGTTTTACCTGCTTGCCGTAAAGAATGTGATGTCCAACAATGAGCACTGGCACACCCTGGTGGAGGGAAAAGTGAAGTTCAGTCTCTGGCAAAGTTATATGAATTTGTTTAAAATTAATTAAAAAAAAAGTGAACCTAGAAAAATCTGTGCGTTTGATCAGGTCTGAACTATAGTTACTGGGGATTGTTGTTGTTTATCTGGGTTTTAAATACTTTGTTTACACCAAAAGTCTTTTTAATAAAAGCCGGTGACAGTGACTCAGTGTGTGTGTTCTCCTTTCTTTTACCTCCTTGGTGTAGAGCAGATCTCCCATCACGTTTCCTGCCAGACCAGAGTTGTGTCTGGAGATCATCTCTCCCTGTAGCTCCACCAACAGCCACTCTGGGGGACTGCACCCGTCCGGACTGCCCCTGCACAAAATGAACGCGACCACATATAATGAGAGATGGGTTTGAGAAGTGAGGGAACAATGAGGTACGGATATCATTTAGTACGGATTGAGCTGAGAGCGCCCTCTGTTGCTAGAATCGACTAATGCACGAAGTATAAAAGTAGTAAAAACAGAAAACATCGTACACGTTTGTCAAATCAATAATGTTTACACTGAATATTTAATTATTATATTATATATAATAATATTATAATATTTGTCTGTTTTTATGAAAACACACGACACACGACCTGCCGTCGTAGTCGTTTAAATGTAAACCATCGTCGATATAAGACCACAGCGAGTAAACAAAACAACGTTTAAAGAGATAAAGAGAGAAAAATAAAAATCAACAATATACTAAACATTTATTTAAAAAACCGCAGACATACGAATGTGTATCATTAAATACTGCGACACTTTAACTCTGTTAAATCTGTTGTTTCCTACCGTATAACGATCTGGACCATCTTCTGTCACCTGTTCACGGCAGTATGAAAAGTTTACGTTACGTCAACATCAGCATTCACGTTAACGATTTTAAAAACAACACATTTATGATATAATCTGAGTGAAAAAAGAAAAAATAACCCTCGAAGAAAAATAACGTGTTTACTTCCGCTCCACTTAAACGTCACTGAAGTTTCCCGCGTGTGCCGGATTTGTGGTGACGTCTTTCCGGTTTGGTTTAAAGGCGTTCGGCACGTTAATATTTACTATTTATCATAATTTATTAACTTATTATTTATTGTTTTGTATCATTCAAATACATACAGTACGTGATCCAATTTAGATTAAAAGGTTGTTTTTTCTGCGTGAAAAGAGCCAGTAGGTGGCAGTGTTCATACACCACTGAACTCATGGTATGAGTACCACTTCCGGGTAAAGGTTCACCAACGTGGCCGCTGATGTTTTCACTGCGTGTGGATTTCAAAACGTGGAAAACAGAACAGCTCGGTGACACCAAGAGAAGGTCGGTGTTTTTGTCATTTTTACCTTAAAGTGTTCGAATCGAAAGAAGCGTCAACTTTAAACACCTTGTCTTTTTGTTTGTGGAGAAAAACCGCTTTTATCTCCTGACCTGAGGTTTACCGTCTGTTTGACTGGAATTTTGACTAGAACTTATCAATAAACTAGGACACGTTTAAAAGAGAGATAGAGACATGTCATAAACGTTTTACGGTTATTTACTAATGTGTGACGGTGACACTGATCATTTTCAAATAAAATAGTCTTAGTCATAACTCTGACTTTTGTTCATATTTTAACCTAAAGTAAGCATCGAACGCAGTCAGTTTCATTTAAAGAGTACATAATAGTGCATCTACTACGTTTGGTGTTTTCTTTTTTTGTCTAGATCTTTCTCTCCAAATTATTCTCCTCTGTCTTTGACAGAGGAGAATAATGATAATGATAACAGCATGATATTTAACAGGTATTTGTTTTTAAATTGTGTACCAGGAAGTGCGTTCCACACTTTCTTAAAGTCATTAATGAGAGACAGCTGATTGGTGGAATGCATTTTTAATAATAATAATAATAAATGTTATTTCATAGGTGCCTTTCTGTCACCTGGCTGATCTCCCTTCTTTTATGCGTGTTTGTGTTTGCACATAAATATATAGTATACACTTGGGTGTATGCATACACATATGTCTGAATAAGATTGTCATTGTCTTCTGTCCACAGGTAGAAATGGGTGAGTTTAAGGTCCATCGCGTTCGCTTCTTCGAGTACTTGCCCAGTGCGATCCGAGCTCTGGCGTTTAACAAAGACTCAGAGCGAATGGCTGTGGCTCGGACAGACGGAGCGGTGGAGATCTTCAACTTCAGCGACAACTACTTCCAGGAAAAGGTGAGTGAATCCAGATCTCCAAGGTCTGCTGTTTTTAACTCTGTACTTTTCAAAGCAGCGTACTTTGGAAGAATCTTTTTTATTATAATGACTACATTTGCTAATATTAAAAGACATCCCTATAAAAAAAGAAAATTACATTTTTTAAATCTTTGTTTTCCAAATCAAAAGTAAATAAAAATCTCCTGATTTTGTGACGATGTTCTGTTTTTATTTTAATTGGGTTTTTCTGCTGCAGGTGATTCCAGGTAAAGACAGCAGAGCTGCAGAGACACTGTGTTGGCTTCACCATCGGCTCTTTGCTGCTGGTTTGAACGGTGAGATCACAGAGTACGACCTGGAAAACCTGAAGCCCAGGTCCAGTGTGGAGACGTTTGGTGGACCAGTGTGGACCATCGGCTGCAACCGACAGGGCACCATGCTGGCTGTAGGTTCAAACCCTTTCTTCTCCGTCTGCAGCATCACTGCACCACCCAACATTTCTGAAGGAGTGTGTGTGTTTGGTGTGTGTGTTTCTCAGGCGGGCTGTGAGAATGGGACAGTGAAGATTTTTGAAGTCCAGGAGGAGAAGATTCAGCTTCAGAGGAGCCTGGAGAGACAGAAAGGTTTGTTTGTTTTAATCAAACATCGCCCCCTGCAGGCTTGAAACTTTAAAGAAGGGTTTAAACGATTAAATTTAGAAGAAAAGCTGGGGGCCGGGGAGTTAATTAGTCCATAAGACTTGAGCACCAACATAGAGACGGCTGTGAGGAGCAGAAACGTCCTTGAAAGTCCCAGACCTTGAAAGTGCTTAAATCTGTCTGGACACAGTCCATGTTACACAGTGTTGGTCAGTGGTGATGTTGACGTGTTCACATGTGATGTCACAGGCCGTATCCTGTCTCTGTCCTGGCATCCGTCTGGAGCTCAGCTCGCCGCTGGAACCATGGACATGATCAGAATCTTCGACGTCCAGACAGGTGAGCGGACCTTCAGCAGAATGTCAGAGAATGTTGTGTTCAGGTTTGACCACAAGATTCATCACTGAAGTGACACATGTGCACCAGAGGAGGGTGCTGTTAGACTTTGGGGTAGTAGGGGTCACGTCTATCACACTTTTGAAAATCAGACTTCAGCAAAAGGTCATGTGACCTAGGTCTGATCTGTTTATAAAATAAAAAAAGAGATACGGGTCACATGTAAGTATGGGGTCAGATTTGGCCCATCTTGACCTTTGACATTTACCGTTTGTTCTCCCAGGCTGTGCCACACACAGGCTGCTGGTGGACAGAGGAGTGGGAACGTGTAGAAACCGAGAGGTGGTGGTGTGGAGCGTCCTCTTCCTCTCTGACAGAACCGTCATCAGTGGGGACTCGGCGGGGAAGGTCCAGATCTGGGACGGAGCGACGGGAACTCTGATCAGGACTCACCTGGTCACCAAATGGGATGTTCTGGCTCTGGCCGTGTCTCAGGTGAGCGCTTCAGGACGAACACCAGCAGGTCGTGAGATGTTGGGATGTTAAAGCTTTGACTCTGGGCCCAGGATGAGAGCAGTGTGATAGCCGGAACCTCCGAGGGAACCGTGGTCCAGTTCCAGTTCCTGCCCTCCACCATGGGACAGCAGGAGAAGGAGTGGGTCAGAACCAGGACCTTTAAGAACCACTCGCATGACGTGAGGGCGCTGATCCACACAGACACTGCTGTGGTCTCTGGAGGTTAGTCGTCCCCCCTCCCCACCCCCACCCCCACTGATGATGGTGATGATTGTGACCACGATCTCCTGTGTTCAGGTATGGACACTCAGCTGGTGGTGCGACCTCTCCTGGACAAAGTGGAGAAGAACACACAGGAATCGTCGATGAGGAAAATCCTTTTCCCTCACGTGAGTTCATTTCTGATGTTATTGAATGAAAAGGGTTTCAGTCTGGTCACATTAAACATTCTTACTCTCTCTGTACAGAAGCCTCTGGTGGACTGTGCTCACAGAGCAGGTCTCCTCTTGTTCCAGTTCACTGATCATTTAGAGCTGTGGAGGTTGGGGGAGAGTGAAGGACAGGGTGAGGACACAGAAAAACACTCTCATACATTTTTTTAAGAAGCACTTGAAAACTTTTCTCTTCAAAGAACATCTATCCTAACAAACCCATGAACATGACATGAACCTCTTCTCACTCTATGACCTGCTGGTTTCACTGTAGCTTGATTGGTCCTCAAACTGTTAAGTCGCTTTGGATACAAGTGTCTGCTAAATGTAATGTAATGTAATAATCCATCGTGTGTGTGTTTGACAGGGAAACCTGGTGAGAGTTTACCAGTGAAGAAGAAACCAGAGAAACTGATTCACCTGAAGAAGAAGGTCAGTCTGTCAGTCGGTCAGTCTGTCAGTCTGTCAGTCTGTCTGTGAATGTTAACAAATAAATCTATGACTTTTTTAAAATTGTTGTCGTCATGGTAACCATCTCCATCGTGGTGTGTGGACCTGAGGTTCTCCACCTCTGATCTGTTGCCACTTGATGTTAATAGTTATATCTAAAGGTGAGTGTGTGCTGCCCCCTGCAGGGAGACGATCACATCTGCAGCAGTGCCTTGTCATCGTGTGGAGGTTGGTTGGTGTTCTCCACCATCTGCAGCGTCAGACTCTACAGAGTCCAGCTCAGTAACAACACCGTCAGTCTCACCAAGGTACCGATGGTCGGAACAGGAACTTTCACCGATGGGAACTTTCACCGTCGAAAATGAACTGTTGGTTTATTTCTCTTACTTTTCCTCCCAGGTGTCCAAACTTCCCAGAATCCTTTGCTGGGCCCATCAGCTGTGTTTCTCAGCGGACTCCTCCAGACTGTTCGCTGCTGGCGCTCGTTCTTCAGTTCATGTCTTTTCTCTCAGTCAGTCTGAGTGTAAACACATTCACACACTGAGACCAAAGTCAGGTCAGTTCACACACACACACACACTCTCTCTCACTCCCTCCCTCCGTCCCTCGCCCTCCTTCACACCAACGTCCAGAGAGAACACGGGTTATTTCAGCCCATAGAGACACAGGAGATGTTGATCCACTACTGCCTCCTGTGGTTATGTTGTGTCACTGAGGTCAACCTGATCAAAGGATGTCAAACAGTGGAGTCACAAAATAACACCTTGAACTGAGTGATGGAGCAGCAGCAGCTGAGTCTCTGTGAGGTTTGGTCTGAGAGAGCCAGAGGTTTAGAACCAACAGTTGACGTTGAAACGCATCGTAAAAACACATTAACTAAAGTGTGTGTGTGTGTGTGTGTGTGTGTGTGTTCCAGGGTCCAGGCAGCCGCTCCACCTGCTCTGTGTCAGTCAGGACGGTCACTGGTTAGCTGCAGCTAACACAGACTGTGAGGTCACCGTCTATGACCTCAAAACCATGAAGGTCAGTCTTCACCCGCAGATGTCTCTGAGCCAATCACAGTCGAGGACACTTTGATTTGGTTTTAACCTCATACCCCCCTCCCACCTGCCCCCCCTCTGCAGCTCCACTGTACAGTTCCAGTCTACTCTTCCTGTCCCACAGCCATGGCCTTTCATCCAGTCTACAACAACCTGCTGATGACTCATGCTGACCAGCAGGTGGAGCACACACACACACACTCCTCTCTGCTCCTCATGTTGATGCTTTATATAAATCTGTACATCTGCAAAATTATAGAAAAATAAGAATTCCTAACAGTGATTATTCTGTGCCCGTGTGTCTGTGTGTGTCCGTGTGTGTGTGTGTCCAGCTGAGTGAGTTCTCGGTGCAGCAGCGCTCGTACACAGAGTGGAGTCGAGCTCTGCACCGACGAGGTCTTCACCCTTTGTGGCTGAAGAGAGACACACCTGTCACTCACATCACCTTCAATCCCACAAACCCCGCCCACATCCTCCTGCACGACACCTACATGTTCTGCATCATTGACCAGACACTGGTACGTACACGGCACGTGCACCAACCCCGACGTGCTGAGCCTTAGGTTAAGAAACATTATTAAAGATGTGAAAGTCTTCCTCCTCCTCCTTCACCTCCTCCTTCACCTCGAAGCGAGATATCTGCAGCCCCTCCCTGATGAAAAGTCAGTGCTCTTCAACCAGATGATGCTGAGGAGTCTCCCTGAGTCTGAGAGGATGAGACACAGCCACGCCTTCAAGATCTGCAAGAACTTTCAGGTACTAGTAATAGTTTGTATCTAAAACTGTAGTATCAGATACTCTGACAAATTCACCCACGGTGCCTTCAAATCTTTGGTTCTGTGAACTATAAAACTATATTTGCTGGTGGAAAATAGAACCAGTAGGGGGCAGTACTCACAAGAATCAGGTCTGCTTTTAAAACCAAAAAAGAAGCGAGATAATTGTTAGCGTGGTTAGCTTTCTACATACATTACAATCCTATAGACTAGCATTGCACCACTATGGAACTATCTGAATACGTACTGACAAGTGCAGCCAGAGATAATACCGCTAATACGGTTCATGCTAGTATATTCACTGCTAACACCCTGCTAATTCACTTCTTGGTAGCACAAAGCTAAAAAGTGCTAACTGGCTAAATTTAAATTATCTATGTCCAGAATTTTTTTTCTTTTTCTGTTATTATTTCATCTTATCTTATTTCATGGTGAAAGGTTCTATAAAACATTGCACCAGTATATGTGAATCATGAGAGGGCTTCAGATGTGTACTTAGCACCACTTACAGGCCAAACATGGAATACCAGAACACTCTGAATAGTTTGGTGTATGATCCTGATGTTCTCCTCCACAGAACATCCTGTGTTTCGATTTATTAGAGGACCAGTCTTTGGTGGTGGTGGAGCGCCCCCTGCTGGATATCATGTCTCAGCTGCCTGCACCAGTGAGACAGAAGAAATTTGCCACATAAAAGACTGCAGATTGAAATCAGAACGACAGAGAACGAGCGGCTGCTTTGTTGAAAACTGTTTTTATAAAGTGTTCGAACCATTTACAGACTATTTACACTTGTCCACAGTCTTTACTTAAACCTCAGTTCACTCCAGTGTTTTCAGGAAGATGATACTGAGCTGTGATGAGGTCACATGACCATCAGACCCACCAGTGACCAGGTGGAGGAAGCAAAACACAAAAAGTTTTTTCATAAATAACAAATGTGTAAAGTAAAAAATGGCTCTTTGGTTTTGTTTACCATGACCCCATTGACCTCTGTCCTCAAGTCTGATGACATCATCTATTATTAAAGACGTTGGTGTAAATGGTTTTGAGAAGACTCTCTGTCCCAGACTGATTGAGGTTATTGGTTGGTCTGTAGCAGTAGCCTCAGCCAATAAGGTTCACTGTGGAAATCAGACTCAACTGTCCAAACAAGGTATATGTTTAACTTTTAAAAGAAAAAGTTTTTTGCGATTATTCACTTGTCGTTAAAACGCTGTTAGTGATTAAAACTAAAGATTAAAACTTTAAAATTATGAAAAAAAGAATGGTTTGGTCCAGAATGGATGTTTTGGTCGAATGAGGTACTAATACCCCGAATTGACTGTGCCGTGAGCGCCCCCTTTCTGCTACAGGAAGCGTTAAGGCTTTTTCGACTAAAACCTGTAGTTTTGGACCCCACATACAAAAAAAATGACCCTGGATTTGAGGTCACCAAATGAGCAAATGAGCTGCTGATTCACTGCTGCCTCCTGTGGTCAATTTTGGAATGTGTCAGCACCTCTCAAAGCCAAAACACAAATCCACAAGCTGTCCATGTCTACCACAACCAGCTGTCCAGGTGCTGTACACAGTAACATGACTGTTCCAAGATGGCCGACAGCTCGCGGTACGGCTCTGCCTTCCAGGTGGGGAGCAGCCTCTCGTTGTTGAGGGCCTGTAACTTTGGGGTCCCCTCCCTCAGCACGTTGTAGAGACACGGCCAGCGGTGCTGGATTCTTAGTCGTGTCCTACGGTCCAGCGTGATTCCTCGGACGATCTTTTTTGCCCGCAGCTCCCGGAGTGCCGGCAGCTTCAGTCGGTTGAAGACCAGACCCCGGCTCGGTGACACATCCAGGAATTCCAGCGACTCCGACTCCAGGGTGTAGGAGATTCCGAGGTTCCTGAGTGGCACCAGGATGTGCAGTGTGAGGGAGCGCAGGTTTGGCAGGGACTTAGTGACAGTCTGCAGCGTGGACGGCGTCACACCTTTGAACACCCAGAAATATTTCAGCTCCAGGACCCGCAGCTGCTGGAAGTTTAAGAGCAGCGACACTGAAACGTCCGACCAATCGAAATGGAGACGCATCTTTGAAATCCGAGGACAAGTCTGGGTCAGTTTGGCCAGCAGCTCCTGGAAACTAGTCACCTGACCGGTGACATCACAAAGAGGTGGAAAAAGAACCTTTCAAATAACCTGATTTCTTTTGAAGTACGGAAAATAAAACTATAATTATTGGATTTAAACTAAGGATGTCCGATATTACCATTTTGCAGATATCTAATATACCCATATTTACCAATTTCCAATTCCAGTATCAACCGACACCGACACCAGCAGGGCAGTGGTGGCCTGGTGGTTGAGGAAGGTAAGTGCCACCTAGTCACTAAGTCACTAACAATTTGTAGGGCACACATCATTTGGTGAAACCCAATCATTGGGTTATCAGGTTTTCATTATGGGAGGAAAAACCGATAATGATTCTTACAGATGCAACAAAATTATTCTAATATCAGGCCGATAATATCGGCCGACTGAGATTATCAGACATCCCTAATTTTAACTCCAGAGTAGAACAATATTTGATCTTTCTTTAATCTTTGACGTCCAGCTCTATTCTAAATACAGTATAAGTTCTGGCTGACTTAACGTAACAATTAGCAGATTATATTACCTGGTCCATCTTGGTGATGCTGTCCTGGTGAGAGCTAGAATGGACCCTTAAGTCTAGGGGCTCCAGGAGTGTGAAGGTCCAGTTGAGGTCCAGGTGACCCAGGTCTCTGCAGTGAACATTGTCCAGCAGGCCGCTCAGCAGCTCTGCCCACTTGTTCCTGCGGTCACCCAGGTCAAAGCTGGCCTTCAGGGTCAGCAGACTGGCTCGCCGAGAAATAAGGTGGTGCGTGTAGTGGTGAACCCAGGCCTTCCAGCGCTCAAACTCTCGGTTGGACACCAGCAACCCCTCCTGGCCAAGGTGAAAGACACCCCGGCGAGAGTAGTCTGCCACTCGCCACAGTTTCCAGGAGCGCACCAGGCAGCTCCAGCTCAGACAGACCAGAGCACAGCTGCATTTGTCCACTTCATTCAGAAAGGACAGGACATGCAGCTGACACTCCACTGGCAGCAGGTTGAAGGGAAAGACGTCGTCTGCCACTTTGCGACGGCTCCTCACAGGGACTAGCGGCCTTTTTCTTGGAGGCATGACAGCGAGCAATGATGGTGATTATTATGGGTAAGGTTCCCATAAATGTCCTAGACCTTTAATTTCAGACAAAGTAAATAAATAAATAAAGCTGTTGAAGAGAAACAAACACAGTCAGTGGTAATAAATGTTTGATTTCATAGGACAGGATTTCAAATGAATCTGATTTAAAATGAAAGTTAGATTTACAATGTATTTATGTAAGGACTGTTACGAACTCAAAAAAAACCTTTTTATATATTTGGACAAAGACTCTAATTTCTAATTTCTTTCTAATTGGAAACATTTCTAATTCACACATAATATCCAGTTCATACTGTCTCAGGAAACGGTTTACCTCTATGGTGCACAGTACTTTATTTTTACTTGTTAGTGACTTTGGTGGTCAAAGTTTCATAATTTAATCCAGTGACGCATACTGACCACACGAGGCAGCAGTAACATGATACTTTAATCTGTTTGTATAATGAGCTGGCACTGAAAATAGTTTAGTTTATAATAGTTTATAATAATAGTTTATAATACTTTCTGTTACATTGCAATCGATGGGAATTCTTGAGCAGCTTTATAAAAAAATATGTTTTATTTATAATGACAAGTTATTAAAAAAGTCAATTTTACCTTTTGGTCGATAAGATACTCGGTTAAATAGCTAAGCTCTTAGCATCTAACAGGCAGACGACAGAAGACTCCGTTTCCTAAACTCACCCACTAAAACTCGTGGCTACGTTTTAATTTTTTGTTGAAGATGAAAGTTTACGTCACAAACTATAATGGAACTCAAATAAGTTTAAAATAAGGCATAAAAACCGCGGACACCAGCCGTAGCTAGGTAACTAAATGGGCCGGTCGAACCTAGCACTGGACCAGCTGAACTCTGTTGTTGTTTTCTTGAGGCTACGCAATGATGATGTCATCAAACAGCGCTCGTGTGTCGCACGTTCAAATACCGGCGTTGTGCCGGCGGGCGGAGTTAGCGTTTGAAGACACGCTTTTGAAAATAACATTTTTGTATTATACAGAACATTGTTTACAACCAATATAATTAGTTTATTAAATTCAAAAATAAAATCAAGAAAATCAGTAAACAGTGTATTGTTTAAAGTTCAGGTCGAGAGTAGGGAACATGAGATGAAGCGCACCCTTCAGGGTGCAGGCAAAACTATAGTTTTCAGGTTTTTGTAGCTGTAGGCCGTTTGAATATTGTTGCTGGCTTTGTGTTTTTTTTAGGTTTTTATTGCTGTATACGATATGCCTACTTTTCGAAAATTATAATGATTCGCTTTTCCAAGCACGCCATCCCTTGTTTTACTATTACACCGACAATTTGCTTTTCACTTTGATGTCATTTAACTATTGAATGGTATTTTATGTCACGAAAATCATGTACGAAACCAGGTTGACTCACATTTCTTAAATAATCAGATTTTGTAGAATATATCTGATTATGTCGTTGTCATTTTTTCTTACCAGCAGAGGGCGATGTAAGGAAGCAGAAATAGTTGCCTGGTAACAGACAATAGGATACTGCGGAAAAATACTGGATCATCTATCTCCATCCGGTGACAGTCAGCCGGTGTTGTAAATGTCTGTGTCACAGTGCAATACTTGAATCCATTGCTTTGTCATATTAAGATTAATATCTATGGAGAGTTCAGCCATGGATTAATGAAAACATTTAAAATGAAGTTAAAAATGACCAAGTCATTTGTAACAGAGCTTATACAATAGTAAAAAAAAATAGTCTTAAAGAAAGTTACCCAGCAAACCGGTTCATTTTGTAACAGTCTTTTTTTGTCCGACGGTACAGTAAAGAGCCTCGGTTTACATCGCCCTGAGCACCGGGATGACGTGAAACAGCCAATGGGAGTACGGTTGTGTCATGTGACCACTCCCTCCCCTCTGCCTCTAGTGGACACACCCACTCCTTGTAAATAGGCGCGGGGCTCAGACCATCTTCATTCGTCATTGAAGCTGCTGCAGCGGAAGTTTCCATCAGTGTTATTGGTCTACAACGGTTTTAGCTACGCACGAAAGAAAAAAAAAATCGACAGAAAACTAAAGTCAGAGGACAGTGATTCCGTTTATCTAGGGTTATAAAAGGAAATAAAGATTTTCATCCGCGTTAACTAAAAAACCACAAAACATGAAAACCAAATTTATCAACGGGGTTTCCTCCTCTCCGTCCATGTCTCTGGGGCTGCTGGTGACTGAGAACGCTCTACAGGTTCAGCCCGACGTCCTGGAGGAGCAGCAGTGTAAGGACGCACAGTTGGACCTCGAAACCCGCCAGAGGGCGTTCCTGTGGTGTCGTGAGTTCCTGCACGGAGCTTGGAAGAATCTGGAGGAGGAAGAGTTCTGCATCAGTGTCATCAGGTACGCGATGTTCCAGTTGTTGATTTGTAGTCAAATAATGTCAACCTTCTCCGTAACCACGTCCGTGAGCAAAACGGCCAGGATTCGAGAAGAAATGCCTGGATTTGTGAGACAAATGTTTTAAACTTATTTTTTAAATATATATAGATAAGCAGGTGTTTCTTATTAGTGTCTTCAGACACGAACTCTTCCACCTCAGACCGTTACTCGTCCTGCCACTGTGTCTTCAGACACCTCAGACCGTTACTCGTCCTGCCACCGTGAATGTCAACAAAACCTTAAGAAAATAACGTAAAAACACAGAGAAGCTAATAGTTTGGCTTCTCTCCAGTTAATTATGTACAATTATTACTGTTTTAACCGTAGTGGTCTGGTTTATATACAAAATTACAGGAGCTAGCTCATCATCACCAGTCCACTTTGGGGCTCCACCCCCTTTTAACAAAATAGTCCCGTGATAACATTCCATTCTTATCACGAAGCAAATGTCCACTAAGACTAGGAAATGAGTCAATATGACTGTATGGTGGTGTGTGTTTTGTTCTCGCATTCTGTTAAATACCATTATTGTCAATGGGTGTGGCTCATTTTCCTATGTAAAGTAATGACATTACAACTTCTCTGCGGGTCCTGTAGGGGGGGTCTGAGCAACAAGCTCTTCCTGTGCAGCCTCTCTGACAGCGTGGACAGCGACGGTGAGGAGCCTCGGAGTGTCCTGCTCCGTCTCTACGGCGCCATCTTACAGGTGGGAGCCCCATCTCACTCACGTGACTTTGAAAAATTAAGCTAAGACAGAATTTAAAAAAATATAAATTAAAAATAAGGTCTTAGTCTCATCTTCGCCACCTTGACGATGAAACGATATGTTCCATTAGTAAAAAGTAGAAACAATGGGTAACGTTAAAGGGGCAGTCCAACCTGTTTGAAGGATGGTTTTGTTACTTATGTCAACATGGAATATTTGTAGTGCTCTGTGACGCCCTCTGTACTGAAACCTAGAGCCAGGTAAAGACTTGCCAGTAGGTGGACCAGAAAGCTGACAATACACTAGCCGAGAATATCTACATTGTTCTAATGGTAGGACCAGACCAGATGCATCTAACGAGTTGTTTAGATTATTCAGTACATTTACTGCTTTATCTCACTGTTGAACATTCACACCAAAGTCCATGGAGAAAATCAATGATTTTTATCTGAGGGGGCGCTCACAAAGCACTATCAGCTGCATACACATTCATTTTTTAACATCTCATGAAACCACACTACAAAATATCTCAAACTGTCACTTTTAAACTGCTCTACATTTATTAGGTTTATTTTGTTTTACTTTTAATGTTGCTCCACAAAGGAACAGCAGGATGTTTAATCAAAAGTAATTTGGGTCAAAGGAAAGTTCTAGGTGTGTGTTTAATTTGTGCATGTGTTAGCCTTCAAGCTTATGTGTTAGCGTGTTAGGTACATGCTGATGTACCCCCATGGCTGTACATGCGTGTGTTCTTTGCCGTAGGCTTCCCAAAGGAGCATGCCTTGGGCTTGCTAGTTGCCAGGTGAAGCCACCCAAAACCACGGTACAGTATGAGATCTCTGAAGCCTCAAAGACGTTAACACACAGAGTTTCTTAATCACAGAAGCCGACGCCCACCAGGGGGTGGGGTTTGTGTAAGGTCCATTGGCGCAGGTAGAAAGTTTATTAGCATAAACCGTACCTGACTGAAACATCATATAAAACGAGTGTTGAAAATATTAGAGTAACTCCGAGTCAGACGGACATTTAAGGTCTTTTAGCTAACTTTAGCTTTAGCCTAACATGTAGCATAACCTCACCTCTTTTTAGGCTAAATTTAAGCTCACACCTTCCAACAACTTAAAGGTATAACCTCTGTCTGCTAACTTTTATCATAAATCTAGATATAAGCTAACCCTTAACTAAACCCTCAACTGCTATTTTTTTACATTTAGCAAAAACCTTAGCTGTCTTTAAGACACCATTTGGCCTAATTTTAGCTTTAACATCAGATGTTTTATGCTTTATGTTATCTTTAGTTAAATAACCGCTACATCTAGGCTAACTCTGATCTAAACCCTTACTAGTCGTTAGGCTAACATTGATTTAGAACCTCAGCTAACTCCATTGAACTAATAGCTGGTTTGTCTTTAGGTTAACCTCTAAATAAAATATTTGCTTTCGACTACATTTTACCTAAAACCTAAGCTAACTTAACTGCAAAGCAACTCTTAACCAACTAACTTCACTGTCTTGTCTCACATTTTAGCTCTTTAAACTCTATCTTTTAGTCCTGCCTGTTAATTATGGCCTGGTGTTTTACCTTAGACCTCTGCCAAAAATCACCAGATCTGCTGTGATGTAATCTGTCAACATTTTCAACAATCCTAACGAGCATAAATGCATTATCTACAGACGGATGTCAATGCTGAACTGGTCCTGAAAGGCTGTTCTCTTTGTTTCTCTGCTTCCGTTATCTCCTGAGATGACGTGGCGTTGGCGTCCACAGCTCACAGCCTCATGATGACCAGTTGCTGACAGTGTTTTAAAGATAACAGCTGAGTCATCCAAAACAGGATAACAGCAGGGTTTAACAACAAGGAAGAGGAAGAAAAGATGTTTGTTCATTCCTTAAATATCTGCAGTTTCTAATCTGCCCCTTATGACACTGATGCTGATGCTGTGAGCAGCACATATTCTTTGTTCCTCTGGTGAATGACAGATGGAGAAAGAACCTCGAAGAAAATTCAAAAAAGTGTTATTTATTATTAAAGGTTCTTTTGGTTCCTGCATCAGCTTTAAAAGATTTTCATAGAGAATTAACTAAACTCCGGCTTATTGCTAACGAGCGTACGAGCTGTTAGCTGTTATGGCTCACGATGTCCCAGAGACCACAGAACGCCGTGTCCTTCAGCACGACGATGGCTGCAGCAGCTGCTGCTTCATCACAACCTGAACACAGTCAGGAAGTCAGCAGTAAAGACTGAACAAGCTGATGCCTGTGTTTCTGGGGAATGGAGGAATGTGAAAAGGGGCATGCTGGGAAGAAAAGGTGGGAAGAAAATAACAAAACACCTACCGATGTAAACACTCTAATGATAAAAAAAAATAACAAAACACCTACCGATGTAAATAAAATGTTTCTAATACTAAAACAATACTAAAACTTCTCATAAACTAAACTCAAACCTAAGGTTAGAATCATACAACTGCAACTCTAGTGCCACCTAGCTGTCGCATAAAACAATACAGTACAGTTACAAAAACATTTTTATCAATATTTGCGAAGAAGAGAAGGCAAAACATGTGACTATGGTTCCAAAAACAGGACTTTTGGGGTGACACTGGTTTCAGAAGCGAGCTCTTTGATTGGACGTTTACATGGTGAGAATCCTGTTCTTCTGTTTCCTCTCTTCTGACTGTGATGTTGAACAGAACTCACGGAGTCTGGTCTCTGAACTCATACTGTGCTGTCTGTACTGCAGAGGCTTTAGTCGCCTGCTGGTGTCATCGCCCGCCGTGGCCTTCGCACGTGTTCACACAAACTTCTCCCTTCTTCTGTCCACAGATGTCCTGTAACAAAGGAGATTCCACACAGTCCAACAAAGAAAACCAGACCCAGGTCAGTGGTACGCTCAGGCTAAATATGTTGGTGCTGGTGTGTGTTAGCCATGAACAAAGTAACAGTTAATATTAGAGAAGAGATGAAAGTCCTTCCGATTAAAGTGCGCTTCTACCGGACTCAGTTTGTGTGAGACACAACCTGACCACAGGGGGCAGCAATGGACCAGCAGCTAAAATCACAGATATTGTCTACGGACAGTTAACGTTGTTTTTTTTTTTTTGGTTTGTGGCGTTTTGTGACAGGTTAGCATGTTTTTGTGTCAACGTGCGGCCGGTTCTTCAGACTGGGGAGAATTGTGACATGTCTGCCAACCACTGTGCACTTCCTGCCGTTGGCAAGACCCACAGACTTCCTGTCAAAAATGTCAATGAACAGCAGGTCTTACCCTCACATCCCCTCTAACAGCTGACGTTGACTGGAGTTATTCTGAGTGTGAGGGCGGCCTCTGTCCTCAGTGCGGCTCAGACACTCAGTCTGGCCTTGACCTGATAGAACAGGTGTGGCATGAAGCAGACGCTTTAACCCACTTACTTACTTATCCTCTCAGTGCTGGGTCAGATCCACCGCCAGGAGGGATTATCTAACGTAGTGCAGCGCCTCCTAACCTGTCTGCGTGACAGTGAGATGCAGGACTATTAAATACTCTCGCAAAGGTGGCAGCAATCTGCTATAAAAACTAAAAAGAACAGAGACTCAGAGTCGTTAAAAAAGATCTCATTATAAGTATTCAAGTATTCAATTCCTGTGAGTACATCAGTGTTGTGTTCAACTAAATAGGTCCAAGCTTCACAGTGAGTAAATCTACTGTGAGTAAATTAAAAAGAGTAGACCACTCATCCCTCACCTGAAGAGTAGAAGTAAATGACTGAGTGATGTTCAGCAGACCTGACCTGGAGGATCTGCAGCTACTTGAAGGTTCTGTTGCAGAGACTGGTGTTAGAGTTCTCACAGAGAACCGTCACCTCTGCAGAATCTCTGTCCCATGAACTGGACAGTACTGTTCCCTCTGGACTGTTCTCCTGCTGGACCCACAGCACCAAACACATTCCCTGGACCACAGCCAGAACCCCGGTGTTTGGATCCAGCCCGGTCGCCACAGCAACGTCTCTGAAGGTCATTCACATTCAGTACAGCCCATGATGGTTCCACATTTAACCCGTGGTTCGCCCACAGCCTGGGGTCATCAGAACCCTGGGTGTCCTGCTGTCACCTGCTGCTTTTGACTTTTTAACTCCCAAAATGTCGTCACTATCTGTTCTCGTCATCTGTCAGTGATCAATATATTTCATTGGGTCATCAATCGTGTGTGGTGTCGTTCCAGGGCACGGAGGCCATGATTCTGGAGAGTGTGATGTTTGCCATCCTGGCTGAGAGGGAACTGGGTCCAAAACTCTACGGTATTTTCCCTCAGGGTCGACTGGAGCAGTACATTCCTGTGAGTACCTGTGTACTTGTACTCCCTCTTGTACAGAGTGAGTCACATGATCAAACTGTTCTTCTACAGCAGGGCTCCACAACCCCAGTCAGTGGGATGCAACCCACATACTACAGAGTCTCAAGGCTGCTGACCACCAGAGGTCAAAGGTTAAATGGGAGGTTCTGTACTAGGGTTATCGTGTGAAATTGTTCTGTGGATCGGGCAGTGAAGGATTCTGGGATATACTTGCTGTACAGTGTCTGTAGTCAACTGCGTCAACGTCGTGTTCTGTTTCCACAGAGTCGTAAACTGGACACCAGTGAGTTGAGTCACCCCCCCATCTCAGCCGAGGTGGCGGAGAAGATGGCCAAGTTCCACGCCATGAGGATGCCCTTCAACAAGGAACCCAAGTGGCTGTTTGGAACCATGGACAAGTGAGTTGTGACAGTCCTCCTGGGAATTCTGGGAAATCCTGAAGTAAATATTTTACTGTGTAGATGAACACCCTGGGACACAGACTAAAGTCAGAGTGTCTTGACAGCTGTCAATCATTAACGTTACTGCAAACTGACCGTGTCATAAATAACTTTAGTACAAACAAAAACATCCGCACATAGGAAACCATGTGACCCACTTCCCAGAGGCTCAGTCGACATCACGTTACGTCATATGCCATATACATCCAACATTTTCACGGCTTCAGGACACACGACGTGGTGGTGCAGCGGTCGCTCCTCCCTTTGTGGAGAACAGAACTCAACCGTGGCCTCTGCAGACGTGTCTTACCTTTGTCCAAGATTCCTGCCAAAACCGTTGCCTTGTTGGCAACTCTGGTTCAAAGGCATGTGAACTTTGAACTTGGCGGTCTCGTGGACCTGGTTTATAGACTGGTGGGATTTATTTGGTTTGAAGAACACCAGTTTTCTTCCATGACACATTGGACCTGTGTTCTTATCAACACTGATGATAATTCCACCGTCTTATCTTGACAAACTTTTGGTGGGAATTCTTCCGAGTTTACGTGTCGTACGGTGTGGGTCACTGACCAAAGTCCACTGTACTTTTCCTCTCCTTCTGTGAGAACACTGTAGTGACATGACTCACTGTCCTACCCTCTGTCCCACAGAGGGTAGGACAGTGACCTGGATCTGTGCTGTAAACAGAGACGACGACCAGATGAAACAACACTCAGTTTAACCCTTGATTCAACAAATCATTTTTAGTAAATATCCTCACAGTGCTCACACTCCCCGGGTACTTAAAAGCTGCCCACTGCTCCCCTTGGTGATGGGTTAAAAGCAGAGGCTCAGTTTTGTTGTATCCTCGTGGTACAATGACAATACAGACCATAAAATTAAATTAAATTGATTGATCCTGTTTCTGTGAAAAGAAACCCATGAATTTATGGTTCTTTATCTTATTAATGAAGGAACCAAAGAGCCAATCAGTATGTTTGAAATCATCTTGAATCAGTGACATCTTGGGGTATTTCCTCCCACACAATCTTAATAAAGACTTTTAAAGACTGGTGTGATTTCTCTCTGAGGTTTGGTGTGATAGTTCCTTAACTCAGAGTGATGTCTAACTGGATGTGATCATTTGTTGTATTTTCACCAGGTACATGGACCAGGTGATGAACCTCGACTTCACCAGAGAATCACATCGCTGTCGTTACAACCGCCTGCTCAGCTACAACTTACCACAGGAAATGGATGTACTGAAGTATGTTCTCTCACACACTGACACGTGACACACACACACATGCATACCAATGTTATATAACCCACTGTACAGAACATCTGTTTTCCTTGTCGACCACAGAGTTAAACACATGCATGTGTTGGAAACTACAGTGGATCAGAACGAGTGTTTTTTTTTTTTTTTTCTCACACTCGTTCTGATCCACAGTGATCTCCACGATTTTATCACAGCGTCAACGAGTCTCACATCACATCATCAGTCTGTGAACAGGTGTTTTCTTCTCTCTCCAGGTCTCTGCTCGACTCCACCCCTTCTCCTGTCGTCTTCTGTCACAACGACTGTCAGGAAGGTCAGTTATGTGAAACCCTCACAGGCCCCGCCCATTAATGTTCCTAAAATAAACTGATTGTTTTTTTTTTCCTGTGCTGCCTTCAGGGAACATCCTGCTGCTGAACGCTCAGAACACGGAGGACAGACAGAAGCTGATGCTCATCGACTTTGAGTACAGCAGCTACAATTACAGGTGAGTCACAGGTACTACAGGTGAAACTGCAAAAAAAAAACAAAAAAAAAAAAACTACCAGTTAAAGTATTCCTTCCTTCGTTTTTTTTTTTCTCTCTCTTGTACTCCGCTTCTCCTTTTCTCACCCCACCTTCCCTTCACCCCCCCCCCTCTCTCTTCACTCTGGTGTGAGGCAGCCTGATCTCCCCCTCTGCATATTTCAGTAGATCACTGCAGCCCTTATGTAACAAAGCTATGAGGTTGACCAATCAGGAGAGAGAGATGTTGAGGGGGCACACACATATACACATCCACACTTTTATTGCTTCAACATTGAAAACCGTATGAACTGCGGCCCCTTCAGGTCTCCCTGATGTAGAACAAACACACGAACCTCAGGACACACACACACACACACACAAACATTCTGGATGTGCATGTGTGTGTATATTCTAAAATCCTCCTCCCAGGAGGGGATGTGTCCTGTGGAGCGAATCAGAACAAGCAGAGTGTTGGAGTTGGGTTTGTTTTCCCAGCTGCTGATAACAGCAGCGTGGGAATCGAACATGTGCATCGTGTCCAAGAGTTCAGCTCCAGAACTCACAATCACATCAACAAACGGTCCAAGTCTAAAATAACTATGAAAAAAAAAAATTGTTTGTGGGCCGCGCCCACATTCTGAAAATGTGTAATGTGTGTAATGTTTTGACCAAAAAAACTTCTGTTCTGATATGGCAACCAACTAAGCAACCACCCATTTGTAAAGAAAAAAAGAGTGAACGCCGTTGCACCCATCTGACAAACGGACCACACCCTAAAATGTTATGAGTGCAGGAGGTTGACCACTAATGCAGAATCCTCTCGGACCAGAGAGGGAATGTTTTCACTGACGCAGAGAAAGGAGAGTTGAAAGAATGGATGTGTCAGCACTGACCCCCCCTGGTCAGCAGTGGTACTGCAGCTGGAGAATCTTTGGCAGAGCTTTTGCATTATTATTATTATTAATGTGATGTATTAATGCATAATAATATTAAACCTATATATATTCTTCTATGTAATAACAAAGTGTCTGTATCGTCACATTTTTGTTGATTTCTTTATTTCTCGTCTTCTCACAGAGGCTTCGACATTGGAAACCACTTCTGTGAGTGGATGTACGACTACGACTGTGACGAGTTCCCTTACTTCAGTGTCAACACACAGGCTTATCCGTCAAAGGCTCAGCAGGTGATTGCGTGCGTGTATGTGCGTGTGTTTGCTAGGTGTGTGTTGACTGTGTCTAACCTGCGGCTCCTCTCTCCACAGCTCCACTTCATTGAACACTACCTGCGTGAGTCTCACTGTGGCTTTGATGATCTGAGTGAGGAGGAGCAGAGGAGGCTGAAGGAGGACATGTACCAGGAGGTGAACAGGTGAGTCCTCAGACATAGTACCAGCAACAGTGAGGCTGCCTTCACTGACCCCTGAAATCATCACATGGTCCCAGCCAGAAATGGTCACCAGCGATTCTTAGTCCCAGTGTACAGAAACAAACAGTACCAACGGTACCAGAACTTCCTTGTGGTTCCATCGGTCTGTGGGTTTCTTGGGAACACAGTTCACAGACAATAGTTCTGTTGAAACAGTTCTAGTTTAGTCTAGTCTAGTCTAGTCTAGTTTCTACTCGGAACATGTTTTCTGTAGATGCAGATGTAAAGAAAATGCAGAAAGATCTCCACCAATCAGGAAGCTACGTTCAGGCTCCTCCCCTTCCAGCCAGGAACCTAATGTTCCTGTGTGTTTCATAAAAACAGCCCTAAAGGCTACAAGGCTCATTTAATAATGTGTGTGTGTGTGTGTGTGTGTGTGTGTCCACAGGTTCTCCCTGGCGTCCCACTTCTTCTGGGGTTTGTGGTCCATCATCCAGGCTCGACTCTCCACCATACAGTTTGGATACCTCGTGAGTGAATATTTAAAGTTTAGATTCTTCATTTCTGTCAATGTTTACTGAGTCAGCAGGTCAGACCGACAGGTCAGACCGACAGGTCAGACCGACAGGTCAGACCGACAGGTCAGACCGACAGGTCAGATCGACAGGTTAGACAGGTCAGACCGACAGGTCAGTTCACATCTGCTGGAACTGACTTTGCAGAAAATATATAAAATAAATGTTTGACAAACTTTAAAATCTTCTTACATCTGCTACTGTTTTAATAATTTTATTATAAGACAACTTTATTGACAAGTCAGTTTTTTTAAATAAACGTTAAACTCTTTAATTAAACTCAATTTATTCAATTATTAATAAGTATTTTATAAAAAGATAAACATTTTAATAATAGATGATAGTGTTGAAAATAAATGCTATTCAATTTAAACGTTATAAAAATGTTATTCTTTCCAATGTCATATTTAAACAACAAGATCATTAACATTTATATAAGAATTGAATAATCAGTTGCTAATCAGTTGTAAAAATATCGTACATTTTTCCGTGTTTTCGACAGGACTACGCGCTTGCTCGATTCGACGCCTACTTCCAGCAGAAGAAGATCTGGGCGAAGTAACAGAGAGAGAGAGAGAGAGAGAGAGAGAGAGAGAGAGAGGGGATTGGATCCAGCATGTTAAGACAAAGGTCTGACGATGAGCTCCGCCCCTAACTCCACACTCGCAGCTCAGCGTAGACTTGATGCTGCCTCCTGTTGGTGCTTTTTAGGGCTTGACTCTTTAAATTCACCGCCCCATAATCATTTACAGCTCAAAGCTCATGCTGTGACATATAGATACCTGAATCAAACCGTTTGCATTGGAAGAAAAGATTTACCATCGGGTTAAACAGTAAGCCCTCTGCTGGCTGATGGGACCACTACAACTCACACAGGGTTGATGTAATTCTGGTGGTCAGCAGCATGTTTTTATTTTGCTTTTTACTGTATTTGAGGATCTTTTTAGATGTGACTCTACCAATACATTGCGGTGTTGGTGACACCTAGAGGTTTGATTGCAGTTTTGCAGAATTTGTGGGGCTTAAATTTGTTATGTATGCAAACAAACAAAAACAGAAAACCAGCATAGACAGATGTTAACATCAGGAAACCAGACTTAGTCAACCATTCACTCTCCACATCAAAGTCCTTAGAAATAATCAGAGATTTCAGTTCAGAACAAAAACTGCCAGCCGCTGATTTTTTTTTTTCTATGGACTTTGGCCTGAGCTAAAATCACTGACTTTTTCTATGGTACAGTTAGACTGCGTTGGCCATTACAGAGGATGTTGTTCTTCATCAGAGTCTCCCTCTGTCCATTCAGAGTCACAGTGTTGTTGACCTGGTTTAAAGTTTACTTTTGTCTGATTCTGAACTCTACTGTCTCACCTCAGTCGTCTGACGTGAGTTCCTTATCACGTTACTAATTGGCACCTTTTCAACCGAGCCGGGGGTGAACTAGACCTCCTCCATGTTGAACTTGTACTGATGACTGTGACTCAAACTAAGACTCTGTCCTTTGTGACTGCTTCAAAGCAACGACAGGTCATGTGATCACCTTTAGACAGTATTTTGTGACCTGTTGTTGAACTCCAGAACTTTTGAATGTGCTGCACTTGCTGGTTAGATGTGGACAACATTGTGAAATGTCTACAAAAATATTAACTTTTCGATCTCTAGTTTGAAACCCAGTTGGTCGTTTCTGACCCTGAATGTGAAAAAAACACGTTTGTTTTCCATCTCCCTCAAAGAGTGGTGTCGTTGCAAACATTCCAATGTCTCAGAAATGCCCATGGTTTTCAGGAACCAAACTAACATCCGTCTGTGGAACTTTAACACCTGTGAACGACAGTCGGACGTTGACATTCCTGTTGTTGCAGTGACCACCTCATGCCATTGAGTGGTGCTGTATGTCGAACAGAGAACGAGCCATCACTCCTTTGATAAAACCGTTTCCACAGAGCGGTTAGAAAATGTCACTGTTTACTTCAGCGACATCTACTTTTTTTGCAGTGATTTTTGGGTAACAGTTTAATTCTACCTAAAAAAAATAGTGTAGAAATTCAAGACTGTGGGAAAAATTATCTTATTTGTATGTATTTTTTGTGTATTTTCTGACTTTTGCACCATCTAATGTCAGACTGACAACTTTTTAGTTGTTTGAAGTTGCTGAATCGAGTATTATTACTTCTTGTCCTCCACAGCGCTACTGTTGACAACAGGAAGTGGTGAATAATTGAACTGGGCTGTGCTCTGATTGGCTGTTACAAGTAACATACACAGTATGCTAGAAAATGTGAATGATGCTAATGCTAGCAACATTTGGTAGCTTAGCCGCTCAACTGTGACAATCCTGTAGAAATGTAAGTCTGTATTACACACACACTAACACGACTCGCTCGTTTGGGTTTGCTATTTCCCATACAACGTTTTTGTTTTTTTAAATTGTCAACCAGAAGGGGGCGTGGATGTAGGTAGAGGGGGTGAAGTGCTGTGGCCTCTGTTGCGAGGTGTAATTTTCTGGTTAACACTTTAAGATTCAGTCTTAATGACTGATGGGATGTTAGCATTAGCACATGCTAACTTCAACTTACAATGGGATCAGTGAACGTACATAGAGAGGAGTCCTTGTTGTCTGATGCACTTTGAACAGAAGGAAAACAAAAACGTTTGACATGAAAAAAAAACTCAAATAGTAGAATATAAGTTTAAAAAGTACTTAACTTTAGACTGTGGGTATATTTTTCATAAAATGTGGTTTTCTTTGTATATTTTCATTGGTTTTAGGTAAAATGTAATTTTATTTTCATTTTTTTAATTAAACGTTTCTAAAACGACTTTGTTATAAAGTCGTTACTGGTTATATTTTAATCTTTTAACTGAAGCAGATTTTTTTTCATTGTAACTGTATGAAAATGTTTAAATGGAAAGAACTTTCTCTGCTTGGTCCACAATAAATAAATAAATCAAAAAATAAAGAGCAGCCATGTTTGTCCTGTCTTAAGGTTTTAAACATGTAATAAAACCATAGGTCTATCTGGGTCTTAGTCCTGGTTCTGACTCTCACTTATCCGTCAACACAATCTAATGATTTACTGGTAAACGATTCTTTAAAAAGAATTGTACTGTTACTGTGCTTTTTGAATCAGTTACACTTGCAATGATATTCAAATGGGTGCAGTGACGATGGTAAGAAGAGTGTCTGCTGTTGTATGTCCCAGAACTCGCTATTCTTACATTGTTCAGGAAGTCTATTAAACAAGTAGCTCTTCGTAATTACTAAGTGTCCTTGAAGCAGCTCTCGGCTTCAGAAAGGTTGGTGGCCTCCGGTCCATATGTTGAGTTCAAACTAATCAACCCAACTATAAAATCATTTGTTACACTCTGGCGACACTTAATGTTAAATTTCACACTGTGACTTCTCTTTGTTCCTTGTGGCTTAAAACATATGTTTACCGGAAATGAAGACCGGAAGTCACTCGTGACTGACTCTAACCCCGTTCTTTCTAATAATGTTCTAATTCCGTACTTTGTCTCGCTCTAGTTTAACGGTCCAATGTACTTCCTGTTTTGTCACTTCCTTGTGTTTACAAGCTCCGCCCACTTGATGGCTCGTCGTTCACATTGTGGCTAACGGTGGGGTTCTTTCTTAGCTGTTTTTGGACAGTTATTCATTGACAAATTAATTAGACATAACCGCGGACAGCTTCGCCCAATAAACAGAAATACTATGATGTCTTGTCTGAAAAAAATATGACTGAATATATTGTTTTATTAAAATATGACAGCTTCTAAAAAGTCTTTGGTCAGTGTGTCGTCTTTTCCTTTACTGCAGCGTCCTCTTCAGGAACTGGACCAGGAGGTGGTGAGGGAAACCAAAGTCCATCTGAATCAGCACGAAACCCTGGAGAGAAGAGAAGCAGCTTCAGACCACGGTCAGAAAAAATCAGCTGTTTCTGGGCTAACTATTAGCTATTATTTGGTTAACTTGTGGCCTGTATTTAAACATTAGCTCCGACTCACGTCACGAGGAATAACTTCAGGGTTAATGATGTCAAATAGATTGGCTCCCTGTTTGTCCAGAAGTCTGGTCACTTCCTGCTCCAGAACTGCAAAACAATCGAAAACGGGAAGAGAAAATCACTGATTTTAGCTCAGACCAAAGTCCATACAGAAAAACGCTGATTTTAGCTCAGTAGAAGATTGAGTTGTTTTCAGAATTCCGTTTTCTGTTTATATGTCAGATAAAGACCATAGTCCTTCATTTATTGAATTATTTATTTAGAACTCACCAGACAAAACTTTTGGAATCCCGATCTTTTCGACAGCTTCCCTGATAAACTCCACTTCCTCTTTATTGATCTAATAACACAGGTCATCAAAGTATTAAATGTAACTGTGAATAATTGAAATACCTTTTAATATTTTATGTCTTCATATTTTTACCCATTAATTTAGCTTTCTACTCGAATCAAGATCAAATAATTACATTTTTCATTATTAATACACAAGAAAGTAAACAACATATAATAATAATAATAATGTATGTGATGTATATGTTTTTACTGTGTTGTTGGTTGACGGCAGATCAGCTCCAGTCACAAAAATCCTGCAGGAGAAAAACATCACGTCAATGACAAATTGACGTGAATTCTACCTACAGAAAATATGATGAAAAAATGCAACAAAAATGAAAACTAAATTTTTACTCTGTTGGAATTCCATGCAGGAAAAGTTTCTTATCAGAGTAGGAGGCTCGGACATCTGTGCTCGTGTGCTGCGTGTAAAAAAACCCCAAAACAAATCACTGCAGTTTTAACAGTAGAAGGCGGGGTGTGGGGGGGGGGTAAACTTTAAAGGATTAATTAATAATTATGGTTTAATTAAAATATTGTTATTATATTTTTGTCAACTTGGTTTGAAGTTGTTATAGTTTTTTTATTGACATAAAAATACATAGTTGCAACACAGGAAATTACCGCCTGAAAAAAGAGCACTGGGGTCATTTGATCCCGATCACAGGTCAGTTGACCAGAAACCTCCGCCCACACTCTGGTTCCTGAGGAAGAAGTGTTGAGGAACGGAAGAGAAGAACTCCACACTGAGAGCTGTGGAGACTCAGAGAAACACTGAGAAATACACACACATACACCGTTATACTCGCAAATGTATTCACAAATATAAACACATACATACTGAGATATTCACAGAAACAAGAAAACACATTTGAAATACAGTTTCTTACCTCTCTGATGACCCCTGGTGTTCGACTGGAGAGACTGGTGTTAAAAAGTTCCTGAAAAAAAAACATGTTTGCTCAAAAAAAGGATAGGTTTTCTACAGAGAGAGCGCCCTCTACAGGACGACTCACCCTGAGCTCCGCTGCAGAGATGTTGAGCTGAAAGCGTCCGTCTTCGTGAGCGGCAGCGACCATGGGGTTAAAGACCTGGTCTGGTTCCAAACACAAACACAGCTGGTGTTCAACCAGGACCAAGTTGGACCAACAGATCACGTGACTGTTGTCTGAAGCAGGGTTAAAGGTGAAAACATAAAGTGACCTGAGAGCCAGAAGTACAACATCCGGTCTTCAGTCAGCTGACTGGGATGAAAGACAGAGTCCGTGATGAGAGCGGAGCTGTTCTGGTACTGAGTCAGTCCCTGGAACAGAGGACAGAGACAAGGACAAGGACACTCTGATATCTGCTGAGATCAGTCCCCGTCAGCAGGGGGAGACAAAGTTCACCTTGTGGTAAGATTCCACGTAGTTGGCGGTGATGACGGGAGCAGCAGTGACACCGATGTCCATACTGATGTCTCCGTCACCTAAGAACTGCTCTGGAACACACACACACATACACTGTCATCTCTGATGATGACGTCACATATATATTTTTTAGTCAGCGCCACCTGCTGTTAACACCCGCTTATGAACAGAAGTTAATGAAAATGTATCAGCTCTGTTGTACAGACAGGAAACTCAAGTTAGTAAACTTTAGCGCCCCCTGATGGACAGACTACTGTATGACCACGATTTATGCTGAGCAGACTGGCCCTGACTTACCCCCTCGCTCACTCACCCACCCCCTAATGATTGTCTCACTCACTCTCTTACCCTTTTTACTCACTGACCCTCCCCCCTCTCCCCCTGACTCACCTGCGGTGTCTTGTATGAAGTCAGCCAGGATATTTGCCAGCTTGTTGATCTCCTTACAAATCTGCAGGGATTCAAACCCAGACACTTGTCATTGGTTACAGTGTTGGTTAACTGTTAGAGAGTTTGGTCTCAGTTTGGACCAGGTCTGAGTCCAGAGAGAGTTTAGACTCCAGGGCGCCCTCACCTGGCTTTTGACCAGTAGTTTGACAGTGAAGGTGATGATGTCGGTGAAGAGCTTCTTCAGCCAGTTTGGTCTGAACACAAGGACCAATGGGAAAGGAGGGAAATGTTACCGTCTGTTTTCACGTGATTTGGTGGAAAATGGCTAAGTAGTTAAGTAGTTAGTACTAGGAACTTCTGTCCCCCAGAGGGGGCACGGCAGAGAATAATTGAGAAACACTGCTTTAACATTAAGTGCTTTAATGAGCAGGCTGCACTTACCTTCCTTAACCACCAGGCCAACACTGCCCTGCTATATGGGTATCGGTTCGTATCAGAATCAGAAATTAATGTTTGGACAATATCGGCATATCGGATATTGTCAAAAAGTTGATATCGGACATCCCTGGTAGTTAGTAGTTAACATTTAACTAAAAGATAAGACAGTGAACTCCCTAACCTGACTACTTACTCTCTGTCGCCCTGCAGGTGGAGGCGGAGCTTGTGAAAGTTAAGGTAACAGTCAGACGTGTCAGCCGCAACTTTTCCGTGACCGCAGTCTGACAGAGAAGATCGGACACAGGTAAGGACCACGCCACAATGACAAGTTTAAGCCCACAGCTCGCTTCATGTTTCCAGGAAAGGAAGTTGGAATAAGACTCACAGAGTTTGGGGTTAATTCCCAGATCGATCTGAGACTCGACCTCGAAGTCCAGTGAATTTTCGACATCGATGCTGGAATACGAACAAAGAAAATAACAGAATAAGAAATAAGGGTTAAAATACTTGTTGTCAAAGGAAACTGCTAGTTTATTCATGCTAATGCTAAGCTAGCTTAATACTTATATATATATATATACATATGAATGAAACCACAGGTCATGTGACTCACAGCCAGCTGCCGTAGCCGTACTGCAGCGTCCCTTTGAAAAATGCAGACACGTTGCTGATCTCCATGTCGATGCCGACGCCTGCTCGCAGGGCGAACGAGCTGCGACCGATGGTCAGGTTATGGATCTCCAGACTGAAGGGTGGAGAGAGGTGACATCATTACACACACGTGTGTGTAGCTGTGTTTGATTACACTGTGTGTGTGTGTATGTTTCCTCACTTTTCCAGTCCATACGTCAGTTTTCCGATAAACGCCAGTGATTTCTCTCCTTTCATGTTTGGGTAGCGTGCGTGTTGAAACGCCGCCTCGATGACTTTGGTGGTTTTCTCATTTACTGCAAAAACACAATTGAAGCCCCGCCCACTTAACATGTGACAGACACAAGCCTCACCCACATTACCCCGTCTGTCCTGAGGTCAAAGGTCAAATCTGTCAGTCTTATTGACCTGTCTGTGACTAGGTAACTAAAGGTAACTAGAACCTGATCAACTCTAGGACTAGTTCATCCAGAACCAGATGTTGATCCCAGTTTCTTCCTGTAGACCTGGAGTGTATTAAACCCTGTTGAAGCTCAGCTTCAATGGGAATCAATGGGACAGAACTGGGTGGCTTTGTTCACGGTGGGGGTTGGACAGTGATTGGATCAGATAAACATGAAAAGCCCACACTAAGAAAGGAAAGAAAACAAACAGAAATCTCAGTTTCTGTATAAACAACTCGACCTTTGATGACCTTTACCAGTTCAACTGGTCACCACTTGTGGACCTGCTAACACCAAACACCAAAACGCAGCGTTCCAGTTCCACTTACAGACCACCGCAGCAGGGTAGGTGAGGCGACAGACGGCGCCGGTGAACCTGTAAGCTGAGGCCCGGTCCTCCAGGCAGCTGTGGGACGCCCCGAACATACAGAAGAACAGCAGCAGCAGCAGTGGACCAACATGAGGAGACATCTCACCTGTGAGACAAAGAAGGTGTTCAAACCTGTGGCCTGTGGTCAGAACTGAGCCATGGACAAAAAACAAAAAAACAATTTACCTTAATTTGAGTTTGACCTTCAAAACCAAAGACTGTTGTGATAAAAACTTTGTCAGAACCTGAGGACGACGTGTCCAACCAGGGTCCTGTGTCTCACACACAACTGGAGCAAGAAAAAACTTAAAAAAGTAAAAGTAAAAAAACTCAAAGACAAGCAGGTAAAAAGTAAAAAAACTCAAAGACAAGCAGTAGTCTTTAGTCTTACAAGCTGAAGTGACACAAAAGTAGCTTCCAGCTAGCCCAGGTTAGCTTACAGACTTAGCCATTTAGCTCAATTAGCCAAAACACAAAACCAGAAAGAGCTATAAGTTATTGAAAAGCAGACATTTAGCAACAGCAACAGACGTTAGTCAGGATTAGACAGTAGGTCTAAATCCAGCGTAAAAATAATTAAAGAATGTCCAGCTGGACTTCTGCAGTTCTTACCTTCAACGTTTGTCAGAGCTGTGCTAACAGAACACCGTTGATCCAATCAGGATGTCACAACACAACATGTTCAAGAGTTAAACCAACCATTTGTGGTGAAGGTTCAAAGCCTCTCTGACTCTGGATCATCTATAGGGTTCTTCAGTGAGTTAGTCTCCACTAATGGTCCGGACTCACTGGATTATTGACCTTCTGTTTAGTCCAATCAGAGAGGACAGAGCACGTTGGGCTGAACAAACTGACTTTAGATTTTGTCCCTATAAGTAAACTGGTGCAGAGGAAGGTCAAAGGTCAAAGCAAGGCGGATTTAAAAAAGACAAACCTCTGTCACTTTTGGATTTTTTGGCAAATTATTTTTGCTCTTTTCATTTTTTTTCTTCGGTGCAATGACGTAGACTGGATCAGAATTCTGTTTTAGGGAAAACATTAAATATTAAGTTATTCTAAAAAAATCCTAAAACTTCTAAATAATTATTTCAATGATGGAAGCCTTTGTGGTTTTGTTGTGAACTTGATTCTTATTCAAGTCAAATTATTCTAAACATAATTTAAATGTAGTTATCTGAGTAATTTAAAAAACAATAAAGTTTTATTTCAGGTTCGAAAATAAGGTTCAGGTCTCACATGTTTTTACTTTTTGTTTTCAATATAAAATACGAGTTGAGGTTGGTACCTGAAGGCAGCACCGAGACCCAAACAGGAAGTAGCTGCGCGGCCGCACATGCGCAGAGCAGGAGTCGACAGCTGCCTGTGGAGTTTGAAGTTGTTGTAGCAGAGATGACGGTGAAACTCGGTGTGACGATGAAACGGCTGTTGTATAGAAACTGCTTTAAACTGACGCACTGTCGCTACAGCACCGTGAGTTCAAAACATAAGTGTTTATTTAAGTGTTAGCAGGAGCTGTTAGCATCGTTTAACCTTTAGCCGTCAACTGCGAGCAAAGGTTTCTCTGAGCCACAAAACTTATTCTTAGAATTTCGCGATTAAACTTTTATTTAAAAATATATTTGGACTAATGTTAAAACTCGGACGTTGATGTCTTAATTCTGGTGAAAAAACATGACATAAACTCTTTTCTATTTAAATAATAATTCACAGAGCGAAGCTAAATCCTGGCCGTGTTTGGAATAATACATTAAAATAATATTTTTTAATTGAAGTCGAGAACATCAGTGATTTCAGTTCACAGAGAAATCGATGGTTTTCTGTATGGACTTTGGTGTGGTTGGCATGGTTACCACGACTGTTTTTATGATGCTGTAAACTAAGAATGCAATTTGATTTTACTGCTTGATGTCGACTTTGACCGTATACAGTATCTTTAATGCAAGTCTATAGTTTGATGTGTGTGTGTGTCTCCAGAGTGTACATCAGGACAGCGTCCTCTCTGCCTTCAGGACCATCTGTGGTGAAGACGGCGTCTCTCTGGGTCAGGCTGTCAGAGAACAACATGGTAAAGACGAATCCGTTCACAGGTCAGTGTTCTGACACAGACGATCCAGAACCAGGAGAGTCGGAGGGTTCTCCACCAAAAACACGTAGGTCAGGAAACTGACAGAGCCAAAGGTCAAGATTCATCAGGTCAGCCTGGTTCAAGTCCAGATCTGGATCCAGACCCTGAGCCAGAGTCAGACCTGGAACCAGATCTAACTGAACTACTGGTTTCTGCTCACAGGACCAGAAAAATCCAGTCTATTCTATTCATTTCTGTTCTATCTGATGTCCATCTAAAACGGGCGTGGCCAACCTGTGGCTCGGGAGCCACAGGCGGCTCTTTGCCCGGTTTCATGCGGCTTTTACTTTCAGGTCAAACATTATGTTTTTTGTTTTTTTACACTATGTCAATCTCATGATGATGAGTGTTGGCGTCATATTACGGAGGGAAAACCTAATCTGCACAGATGAAAAGATGTACAGTATACAGGAAGTTTTATTTTATTTTTTCAAAGTTAGTATTACAGGAATTTTATTTTATTTTTTCAAAGTTAGTATATCATGTGGCTCTTTGTAGTAACACAGTAAAAACTGGTTGTCCACCCCTGATCTAAAACATATCCCTATGTGTGACTTCTGCCGTCCTCTAGGTGTCGTCCTCCAGACGTGGTGGTGTTCCCCCGCAGCGTGGAGGAGGTCAGCGCTCTGGCCAAGCTCTGCCACAGTCACCACCTTCCCATCATCCCCTTCGGCACCGGGACGGGCCTGGAGGGAGGGGTCAGCGCAGTAAAGGTAAAGAGGGAGGAAGATGGTGCAGATCAGGGTCAGGTCTGCTGTTGTTCAACCTCTGGACCTGTGTCCTGGGTCTGCCACTAGGGGGGCGTGTGCTTCAGTCTAAGGAACATGGAGCAGGTTGTGGATCTCCACCAGGAGGACTTTGATGTGACGGTGGAACCTGGTGTGACCCGTAAGGGTCTGAACTCCTACCTCAGAGACACAGGCCTGTGGTTTCCTGTGGGTGAGTCCACACCTCCTCCCTCCTCCCTCCTCCCTCCTCTCTCCTCCCTCCCCCCTCCTCCCTCCTCTCTCCTCTCCCCCCTCTTCTCTCTCCTCTTTTCTCCTCTCTTTTCTCTTCTCTCCTCTCTCCTCTCCCCCCTCTTCTCTCTCCTCTTTTCTCCTCTCTTTTCTCTTCTCTCCTCTCTCCTCACTCTACTAATTTTTTCAAGGTAAAAAAAGTACTAGTTGGGAACTGAGTGTCCAGCAGGTGGCGTTGTTGTGGATGAATGGGTTCCTCTGGTTCCCCCTCAGATCCTGGTGCTGATGCATCTTTGTGTGGGATGGCTGCCACCAGCGCCTCAGGCACCAACGCAGTGAGATATGGAACCATGAGGGAGAACGTCCTGAACCTGGAGGTGGTTCTAGCCGATGGCAGCATTCTGCACACGGCAGGAAGAGGGCGCCGTCCCAGGTTAACGTCTATAAGCTTACCTGTGACCTGACGTGGTGGTGCAGGACTGAATTGTCAGTTTTGCCTCCAGACTGACTAAGGACTGACTCAGAACCCACAGACTGTTTGGAATTGAACCCTGCAGACAGGGACCTGGACGAGGACTGGACCTGAACCCTTCTATCTTCTTCAGGAAAACAGCAGCAGGATACAACCTGACCAACCTGTTCGTGGGTTCAGAGGGAACGCTGGGCGTCATCACCAAGACAACGCTGCGTCTGTATGGACTCCCAGAGGCCGTGGTCTCTGCCGTCTGCTCCTTCTCCTCCGTCCAGGACGCCGTGGACAGTACCGTCCAGATCCTGCAGGCTGGAGTCCCCATCGCCCGCATCGGTGAGGACGGAAGACATAAGGACTTTTACTGACGCTGTAAACACTGCGTGAACTGTGTGTGTGTGTTTCAGAGTTTCTTGATGATGTCATGATGGAGGCATGTAACCGCTTCAGTGGTCTGTCTTACCCTGTCTCACCCACTCTCTTCCTGGAGTTTCATGGTTCACAGCAGGGTCTGGAGGAGCAGGTCCACACAGCAGGTGACGTCCGTGGATTAGGTCATCTGATCCACATGACCTTTGACATTAGAAGAACGTTTCCATCAGTTGATGTCAAATCTTTCTCGTGCATTTTCTTGTTTCCACAGAGGAAATCACTCAGAGTAACCGAGGTTCTGACTTCCAATGGGCTCAGGACACCCAGAGCAGGGAGCGACTGTGGAAAGCTCGTCATGACGCCTGGTACGCGGCCCAGGCTCTGAGACCGGGCTGTAAGGTGGGACCAGAACCTGGTGGTGGGAGTTCTGACACTGAAAAGTTTTATGGTATTTTGTACTTTTTTAGCAGCAGATGTAGCTTCACTCCCTGGCCTGTAGGTGGTGCTATGCCCTGTTACTGGTGGAGTGTTTAATTTGAACGTGGTCCTGTAAACTGGGTCAGAACTTTTTCCGTCTCTCGCCAACAAGTGTCACTTCCTCTTTGGACTGGAACATTTGAGTTACTTTACACACATTACTGCCACCTACTGGATCTATTTTTCACAGATGCTGTAACGTGTCTCTAGGATGCTCACTCTGCTGCCGTATGTGTTTTCAGGCTTACTCCACAGACGTGTGCGTCCCTGTGTCTCGATTGCCTCAAATCATTGTTGAGACAAAGGAGGACCTGATTGAGAACAGGCTAACAGGTATTTCTTCGCTCAGACTTTAATTTTGTCATGACAATAAAGCCACACGTACTAAAAAAAATCTTCTACTCAGATCATCTTGCGTTTCACCTCAGGTCCCATCGCTGGTCACGTGGGTGACGGTAACTTTCACTGCCTGTTAGTGGTCGACCCCAACGACACAGAGGAGCTGCAGCGCCTCCATCTGTTCACTGACAGACTGGCCAGGTACCTAACTTACCTAAAAATCCAATTTTGTTTAGAGCAGCTGGTCCACTGCTGCCTCCTGTGGTCAGTCAGTGTCACTAGGGTAAATCCGATCAAAAGGTTTTTTTTACAGTAAAGTCACGGAATAACACGAGTGACGGAGGCAGCAGTGGATCAACAGCTGCTGTGTCTCTGAGCTAAAATCACTGATTTTCTCTATGAGGTTTGGTGTGGGAGAGAGTAAGATTCTGAAGAAACCGTGACGTTCAGTGGACATAAGTTCAACAGGCGCTTCATTTTTTTTTTCTTGATGCCCATTTTCAGTTGTTCAGTGCTTCATTTTTTTTTCTTGATGCCCATTTTCAGTAGTCTCTTCGGTGCCCTTAGGGGGCGCTCACAGAAGGGCCAGCTTTGCCTGCCTGTCCAGCCATAACTGTTTAAATCAGTTTCTAAAACTGTGTTTTTCTGCAGACGAGCGCTGGCCCTGGACGGCACATGCACTGGGGAACACGGCGTAGGTTTAGGGAAGAGGGCGCTGTTGTGCGAGGAGGTGGGGCCTGTAGCCATGCGGTTGATGCAGGGTCTGAAGAAGACTTTGGACCCTGGTAACCTGATGAATCCTGGGAAGGTTCTGCAGCTGGAAACAGAATAGAAAAAGGTGTTGAGCTGATGAAACTGACTTTAAAAGTCGACAAATTACTTTGACTTTAAAAATAAATTAAAATAAGTATTTATAATATTGCTGTTAAATTTACATTTGATTTTAATGTCAGAACATATTTAATCAATGTGAAATTACACAGAGGTTTTTCTCAGGATTTGATCAGAAATACATTTTATAATTTCTTACAAAGTGAGAGCCATGAAAACAACCAGTCTGAGTTTCACCTCCTCTCACTGTTCCACTCTTCTGTTTGTGACTGTTATATTTAATTATTATTAGCTTTTAGCCATAGAATTGCACCTGTCATCCTTTGACTGCGTATATTTTTGGCTTTAAAAACGGACTACTAAAGTCACTGCAGTACCTCCGTGGCCACCAGGGGTCGTAAACTCGCAGTTGATTTGACGTTTTTTTAAACCTTTTTGTGTTTTCCTGTGTGACGTCACCTGGCTACCTGCTGTAATCACATATAAAATGTGTGACTTGAATACAGATTTTTAAAAAAGGACGTCTGATTGTTATTAGTGACCTCTGCTGTAGGTCACTGGTACTGTATCTCTGGAGTGAACTCTGTTGCACTCAGCTGTGTGACCTGACGTCAGGGGCAATCATATTCTCCCTAAAAGCCCTGGAGCAGGTGTGTATACAAAGGTCTTGGTGTTGACGTCTGGGAATTGACCCGGCAACCGCACAACCTGCAACACAGCTGAGTTAATTTCTTTTTAATGGCCATAAAACAAAACTGACGACACGTTTACAAAAAGTCATAATGATTTCATCTCTATAACAATAAAAAGTCATAATAATAATAATAATAATTAAATAATAATCAGTGGTGATGATGATAAAGCAGCTGTTTGTCGCCTCCTCTGAGTTTGCGCACTCAGCATCAGCAGCAGCATCAGCATCAGCAGCGGCGGCTTCTCTTCGACCTGTCGCACGGGGAACGAGCACCGAACAACGGCTGACAGCAGCAGTGATTCCTGCTCAGATCCGAACTCCTGTCGCGCCGCCATTTTTCACTCATTGATTACATTTGTGTCTGTGACAG